AAACCTTTCGCCAGGAGGTAGTCCAACTGGTTTCGTAACTCCTGTAGCTCCGGCTGAGTCAGGCGCCATTGCGTGCGTGCAGTAGGCTGCGCGCCGGGCTCCAGCTCGATTTTGTGGTCCTGGGGTCGTTCGGGTGGCAGTCCACTTGGCAAGTCGTCCGGGAAGATCTCAGGATATTCTCGAATGATTTTCGCCAAGTCATCTGGGACCGAGGCGCAGAGTTTGTTGATGTCGGTCGCCTCATTCTGCTCCGTCGATTCGGTTAGATGGACGGCGTATAAATCCGCTCCATTCTTGACCGCTCGCTTGAGGCACATCGCGTTGACTCGTGTCGATGTTGTCTCTGCTTCCGGCCACGTGGGTAATTTTCGCCAACCTTTGTCGCACTTCACTGTGCACTCACCTGTTGTCCAATCGATCTGCGGGTTGAGTTGTCGCAGCCAATCGCGTCCCAATAGCACGTCGTAACCGTCGAGCGTTGTCGCCAGCATCGGCGCGCTGAAACCAAAATCTTCGCCACACTTCATTCGGACGACAGGTACTTTTTCGCGTATCGCCAGCGGGGTGCCGTCCACCAATCGCGCGTCGATTTCGGGTAGGCACCGCTCCAGCGTCAGGTGTAGTCGTCGTGCTGTCTCTCGATTTATCAGACTATGACTCGCACCTCCGTCGATGAATATTTTTATTTTTCTCTCGTTGAGTCGTCCTTCCGCCAGTACAGGGTGGTCCACTGGGTCATCCCCCTTATTCAGCCGGGAGCGGTTGATAGCATGTATCGGAACCACTACTCGGTGGGGATGGTGTTTTTCGGGCGAGGAGACAGGGTCAGTAGGGGGCCCGACCGCTACTGACGCTTGGCGTTTCCCGACCTGTCTTCGTCGTTCTTCTTTATCTGCTTCTTTCGGGGGCAATCGTGAGATTGGTGACCCGGCTGGTGGCAGTTGAAACATTGTCCCTTGCGAAAATCGTCCATGTGCTCCTTCGCCACTACGCCGTGAATCGTGGGCCGTGGATTCTGGCCACGAAAACGATTTCCCTCCCGGGAACCCGGTCTCGCATACGTCCAATGCGCGTCGAAGTTGTCTGCGATCCGAACGGCTTCGTGAAACGTCGCCGGCAGTCGCAGTCGGACCTCGCATATAATGTCCTGCTTCAAACCCGAAATGAATCGAGCTTTCTTCTCGGAGTCATGCATGTCGGTGATTTGATCGCATAACGCCATGAAGACCGACGCGTAATCCTGGACAGAACTCCACTGGCGCCAGTTGTCAAGCTTCGTGCGTGCGTTGTCCGAGGCGGATATTGGCTCGAAACGTTCACGCAGAGCTGTACCCCACGCCTTCCACGTGCGAATCTTGGTCGATCCGAAAATCGCGGTTGACCCTTGGGCAGCAGACCCAAAGTTTCCGAAAAACCCCTGTGTGTCGCCTGCCGAAAACTCCCCCTCCTGTAGAGTATATCGCCACCAATCTAGCGCAGGTCCCCGTAGTAGTGATACAGCCAGTCGAATTTTTAACTCGTCAGCAGTGATCCCAGCGGCATTAAAATAAAGTTCCGCCGAAAATAACCAGCCAATAACAGTAGTATTCTTATCTGTGGGGTTGAACAGGGGCGGCATTGTCGGTTTGATCGTCGCTGTCGTCACGATCGGCATAAACGCCGGTGCGGCTACAGTAGCGGCTGCTTCTGACCGAGCGGCTGCTGCTGTCGCTACTGCTGCTGCTGCTTCGGCTGCTGCTCGTGCTGCCACGTCAGCTGCTGCGGCAGCTTCACTGTCCTTGCGCTCCTGTGACACCTGACGTGCGATTTCGTCCAAGACGGTTTCGACGCGTCCGGTGCTGGCGACCTCCCCTTGGGCGGCAATTTTCTGACGCGAATCCTCTCGCGCCTGGCGTAACTCAGCAACTTCCGCACGAAGTCGCTCGTTGTCCTCCAGCACTGTAGCCATGCGCGTGTTCATGGCGTTGAACTGCTCCCGAAGCTCGTTGAACTGAGCTTGGTCCATTTGGCGAATGCTCCGCCGGGGCAGGGGGAATTCCGTCGTGTGCCTGTACTCAGGTAAGCGCAAACGCTATCGTAGTTGGGCGAATTAATCAATCTAATTCGCGAGCAACCGCTTTGCAGCTTACGTGAGGGACCTACCCCCCCCCCCCCCCCCCCCCAAAAATCAACTCACGAAAACGGGTGAGCGAGGAAAGTGGCCTTGAATACCAGGTGTTATGAATGAACAAGCAGAGTAGCGCGGAAATGAATAACGAAGTGTTCACTCAATGAATGACGATACAAGGAATGGCAAGCCAAGATATAGGAACACCAGAGCTAGTCTAACCATGCGATGGGAAGGTTCGGGAAGGAGATCGAAGGGTCTCGAAGTGACGAAACGAGGCCTGGAGAACTCCCGAAGGTCGAACCGGAAGGTCTGGAAAAGCCGAGGCGGTTCTGTCAGAAGGTCTGGAACAGTCCCGAGGCCTCAGGTGTGTTCGAGCGTACGCGATAGCAGTACCGCCCGGTAAGGAATGGAAAATTCCTTACAAATAGAGGAAATGTGACACATGGGAATGGGAAGAGGACCTAACATATAGCTGTCAAGATTGATCCCCTTACATATGCGGTAGACAATAATTGCAGTGTATACAATGTTGCTGATGTTCGGGTTCACAGGTGGGGGAAGTGCACCACGCGATTCGATAATTCTGTTCGTCAGTCACATCACATCACACCTTGCGCGCTTGGAGAAACGGGCTACTGTACAGATCCTCGTTTGGGAATCTTCTCGTGTGTGGTGTGGTGAACCGAACCGCCAATCTGTCCAGGCTCCGAGGTCTTCCGGAGGAAGTTAGCTTTCATGGTCCCGGGAAAGCTAAATTTCTGCAATTAACCCTCAACAGTGGCTTCCACTCATCCACCTGCTCAGTGAGTTCTCTGTTATATTTCGACTACAACGACGGGACCCTGCCTCGGTGGAGGAAATCGACGGTGAATTGGCAATGAGAAACAAGAGAGCAGAGTGTGCGAAAAAATATCTCTACAGTATATGTCCTCCTGCTGAGGGCTGATTCCGCAGTGAGTTTCAGATCTGAGGGTCTAGCGGAAGATCCGAGGCTGGGAAAAAAATGCCTCAAGTCCTGCAAAAAATGCCTCGGCTCCAGCCAGTCAGCTGTCAGACCGAACTACTAACAACGTCGCGCAAATTAACTTTCACGAATCACAAGCTCGAAGATTTCTGGTGGACTCGCAAAGTTCGGCCAGTAGAGTCGCAACTCTCCCTTTGCGACAGTTCGCGGCTGTGCAGCCGCTGCACCGTCAAGAATATAAAACCCGCAGTTAGCCCCGACAACCCGCGGCTCCTTCGGCCGCGGGTCAACCTCGGGTATGACACTCGCTACGGAGTGTCCCTTACTCGTCTAGGCCACTCCCCTGCACAACGGCTCACAAGCTACTGTACCAAAAGTGAGCAATCTGCATCAGCACAGCACTCCTCCCTTTCCACCCATCCCAAGCCGCCTTCCTGCAAAACGTTGGAACGAAACAATGGGCGATCTGCGTTACAGCAAATCACGTTACTAGAAACTTAAAACCATTACCTAAGTTTCGAAAGATATCGTGTACCCTGTAACCATCCTCCTCCGATCATGCAATTTCCACCGTCTCCTCCACATTGTCACCACACCAGGAAAAAAGAACCCCTTGTTCCAACGGATTAGCTGGGAAAGGCTTTAGATTAAATTTGACGCATTCTTGTTACAACATCATCGCTTACCTCGCGTGGTGTTCTCCGCAATGCACGGCAATCTTCAAAATCTGGCAATATGACAACAATCATGGGCAAGTTTCTCCAAGTGGAGAATGCAGTGTGTCGCGTGGACTCTTTCCGGGTCGTTCTGACCTGCACTGCTGACCAGAGAGTGGAATCTCATTTCCACCACACAGATGCCTCATCGCAAACTGCACCCAGCAGCAGGCCTCTTGCCAACAAGGGAATTACCCTTAATGTCGAGGAATTAAAGAGTAACGTTTCAAGTGATTCCGTTTTTTTACAGTGCGATTCTTCCCGAATCCGTCCAGCTTACGGAAACAATTTCGCGCGATTCCTTAGTCTAACGAGGATTTTTTTGGAATCCGTACGGGCTATACTTGTAGCAGGGCAATCTGTAGGGGGGTTCACTTAGATCTCAAACCCCCCCCCCTCCCCCGCCGGCCCTTGATCACTTGCTAACCGAATTTGTAGCGGCCGATTCCTTTCGGTAAAGGATTGTTTTGGGGAAATTCCGTCTGTTAACGGGTAATCCTGAGGCGATTCCGTCCCCTTCCGGGATACCCTGGGGCTTAGCGAGAGGCCTGCCCAGCAGCCAAAAAGGTCAGTCCAACCTACCAACCACGAGCACCACCGACGGACCCTTCCCGCGACACTGCTCCACCACACCTTTCTGACACGGATTCACTGTGCAACTTCGTCAGGGCTCAGCTCCCCCTTGCCCTCCAAGGCGCGCTTTTGGAGTCGGGAATTTCTTGGGCCCCGTTCTCCCCGAACTGTGCTTGACCAATTGGATTTTCCAGTATACAGCATACAATATGTACCTTCCTAGAGTTGCGTCCAGCTCACGAAACGTAAAAAATAAAAAACGAGACTTCAAATGAAGAGAATGAGAAACTAAAAAAAATCTTATAGGCTTCCGAAGCAAAATGTTTCGATAGTACCCATCCACCTATCGAGTTTCCACTTTGACTCCTGACCAAGAATTTTGCGATTGGTCTCCCATCTCCATCCCTCTCCCCGCGTTTCGCGCGGTTTCTCGTTTTGCATTATTATCCCCTCTGCTGGGCATAGAGGAAACTGTGCATTGTCCCGACGGCCCAGTCGCGGATCCTGTCGCATTGGCGACAACTGTCGGTCTGTTGAGTCTCACCGCACCGCACACCTGTGTCCCCTGAGCTGGTGATGCTGACTACAACATCTCCTCTGACCAACTGCCAGATGTTGCTGACGACCTCGCCGTTGTTGTTATGCATTCCACGCTGTTGAACTGCTCTTCCACAACTGCTGTTCTCCCTATCGCTCACTCCACCTCGCCTCCGTGTTGACGGATATCCACCATTAGTCGCTCCTCCTCGGTTGGCTCTCACCCACTCTTTACTTACCTAGTCGCCATTCTCCTCGTTCGTCCAGCCGCACTCGCCGAGGAAAACAATCGCCTCGCGAAAACCGTCCGTCGGCCTTGCGAAAGCCGTTCGCCTCGCGAATCCAGTACAGGCCACACGTTGTTGACGCGCAGCGTTCTGGAGAATTCCCAACAACCTCGAGCAGCGTCTAGTTTTGAGGCGCCTCAAAATAACAACCTCGCGCAGCGTCAGAATTCTCGCCGTGACCTCTTCCCTCCTCCGCCATGGCGTTGTCTCCCCTCTGCGCGCCTCCCCTCGGAGTAGCAATCCTCCCTCCTTCCAACACTCCTTTCACCTACCCCCCGCCTCCTCCCGTTTCGCACACGGAGCTCTCCACCTGCTCCGCCTCCCTCTCCCCCTGGCCCTTCCCGCTCCCGCTCCCGCGCCCACAGCCCAGATGCTCCCCATGCCATGCCTTTATCCCCGTCCCCGTCCCCGTTCCCGCCCCCATCGCCGCCCCCTTCCCTGTTCCTGTTGCGTCTCCCATAGTCGAAGCGCGGCCGGCAGTCCACGCCCGCGCTCCGTGTCCGCGCGCGAGCCAGCGCTGGCAGCACCATCGTGCCGCCCTTGCGCCATGCCTCATCGAGGAGGTGGCGGAGAGCGATGGGCCCTGCGAGGCCTCCCCTGTGCATGCCCGCACCACCGCTGCCACTTCTGCCAGCGTGGATTACAGACTTCATGACGTGGATTACAGTGTTCATGACGTGGATTACAGGCAGCGTGTCGCGGCGGATTACACTCAGCATGCTCAGCTTCCCACGGGCGCCACGATCGTCGCACAGGACGGGATGGAGAACCTCGAATCGCGAGTCGAGTCGCGGCCTCAACCGCTCGACTCGTTCCTCGGCGGCGGCAGCGTCCTTCGTGGCGTGGACTGCGGGCCGGTGGATCGCCTCTTTCCCGCCCAATTCTCCCCGGCTTCGGCGGCAGATGGATCTTCACTGGGGACCAGCGCCGTCGCCGTCGGCGGCGGCGGCGGCGGCGGCGGCTGCGGGCTGCCCGTGGCAGCGAGCTGCGGTGCTACCGCGGGGCACGCACAGGCGGTGACGTCACTGGCCGTTCTCGAGAGGATCCGCGCGCTCCCAGGTCTAGGGGGAGGCGCGCCGGTGCCGCACCGGCCCATGTCCCGCGGCGCGAAGGCGGCCGTGGCGCGGGTGATGCTGCGGCGGCGCGCTGCGGAGCAGCATCAGAAGCAGCAGCGGCAGCAGCGGCGGCAGAAGAGCGAGGGAGAGCTCGCGGCGAAGGCGCGCGACATGCCCTGCCCGCGCGCGCCACTTGTAGCGGTCCGCGGATCGCCGCAGGCAGGGGGGGAAGCGCCGCTTGCTGGTTGGGAGGAGGCGCGGGGCGTGGGGAAAGGCGAGGGGATGGGGGGGGAAGAAGCGGTGGAGGAGGGGCGCGAAGGACGGAGCACGGTGCTCTCTGGGGGCGGCAGTGCTGCTGCTGCTGCTGCTCGCAGCGAGGGCGCGGCTCTGGGGCCAGTGGTGTCAGTGGTGGGCACGAAGCGAGCAGCGCGCGAGCTGCGAGCGGTGGCGGAGGCGGCTGTGCCGGTGTCCAAGGCTGCGCGGACCATGTGGGAAGTCGTGGCGTGCAGTGAACGGGCGCTGGCAGACGCCGCAGGCGCCATCCGCGCCGCACACGCAACAGAGGCGGCGGCGGCGGCGGCGGCAGAGGTGGCAGCAGCAGAGGTGGCAGGGAGCGTTCTGCTGGGTTGGAACGGGCTGGATGAAGGGCTCGGAAGGGGGTTTGAGTGGCTTGTGGGGGAGGAGTTGGGAGTGCGAGCCACGAGCCAGAGACGTTTTGGAGGAGGGCAGTCGGCGGGCGCCTTTTTTGAGGTGCCTCAAAAGCAGTTTGAGTGGCCTGTGGGGGAGGAGGTTGGAGTGCGAGCCACGAGCCTCAGCCTGTTGGGAGGAGGGCAGTCGGGGGGCGCGGGGGGGTTGTGTGTGGGGCAGTGTGCGTGCTGCGGCGGTGTGAAGGCTGCCTGGACGGAGTGCATTGATTCCAAGGCGGCTACATGTGTTGGGGGGCTCTCTGATGATGTCATCAGCAGAGCCTGATGGCTCCAGGGCTCAAAGGCTCCAAGACTCAATTGCTCCTAGGCTCCATGGCCATAACGGTCCTAGCTGAGCTTAGTAGGATCTTAGGTGCTCTCATTGCTCCCCTTAGTGCCCTTGGCCTTGAGCGCAAGTGGCACGTATGAAGGCGCTTGCTTGCTGTGGGCAACAGCAGGATGCCCCCACACCTTCTGCCTAGCCTGGCAGGCAGTACCATAGCTTCTGATCTGATGTACTCAACTCATCAACTACTCATCAACTACTACTAACTGTTCATTCCTGCACAGATTGTGTCATGTCACGAGTGCACAGATTCCTGATGCTCTCTGTGTACTGTACCTGCACCTCTACGGTAAGAGCCTAGGGTAAAATTATCCTTCCTGTCCTGATGCAGCGCACAGAGCGGAACTATTAAGCTGACCCTACGAGGACAGTAGGAATCAATATTTTGCTAGCTAAGGAAGTGTGGTGTGGGGCATAAACGATCAGCCACACTGGTGCACTGCAATACAAACAAGGCTTCGCCTCCAACCCCACCCCCTGAACAGCACAGCAGCGCACGGCATTAAGGAAAGCCCACCCCACCTCTCTCACTAGGCGCCTACTTAGGGCATCATGTTACCCCCTTTGTCCAGCAGCCCCAGGTCGGAGAGGCAGTGCTCAGCGTAAAGCCAACCCCTACCCCCAACCACCCTCCCTCCCAGTCTCCCCCTCGGCCCCCGGTCACTGCACGCCCACCCAGGGCGTCATGTTGCCTCCCTCGTCCAGCAGCCCAAGGTCAGAGAGGCGCCTCTCGGCGTAGTAGAGCAGCGAGTCCAGCGCGCGCACCCGCCGCGCCGCCCACGACTGCAGCTCGACCAGAGCGGCCTTCTCGCCCATGCGCACCACCACCGCCACCTGCTCGCGGCTGCCCTCGGGGAGCGAGGGGAGCAGGGCCAGGTCCTGTAGCGGCAGGTAGTAAGGCGGGAGGGGGGATGAGGTGGAAAGGGGGTGGCAGAGGAGGTGAACAGGAGCAACTGCAGCTCGACCAGAGCGGCCTCCTTGCCCAAGCGCACCACCACCCCACCTGCTCGCGGCTGCCCGCGGGGAGCGAGGGGAGCAGGGCCAGGTCCTGTGGGGAAGATGGGCCAGAGAAGGTGGGACAGGGAAGGTGGGTGAGGGACGGCGGGGGATTTCTTAGGTGGAATTAGGTAGTTATGTATGTATGCAGGTTGCCCAAAGCGGCCTTCCTGCCAATGAGCACCACCACCGCCACCTGCTCGCGACTTCCTGCTGGTCTGCTTTTGAGTCGACTCAAAAGCACCACCACAACCTGCTGGTGGCTGCCCGCAGGGAGCGAGGAGAGCAGAGCCATGTCTGGGGAAGGGCGGGGCAGGGGAGTAGCAGGGGGGCTGTAGGGGAGGGTGGGCCAGGCCAGGGAAAGAGAGTGGATTGGAAATAAGTGCCATTGGTCAGGGTCCATGGTGAAGCCTGCTCAGCACAGGAAAGCGGGAAGCAAACAGGACCCCCTTATCTGCTAGTGTGTGTGTGGTCCAACCCACATACCCGCTGAGCAGCACAGCACTGCACTACCCTCCCCTCCAAGTGACTGACCTGGTCGTATGTGGTGGGGTAGGCAGCGAGTGCAGCGGCGCACGAGTCCATGATGCCCACGCACACCGCCTCCTCGTTCTCGCGGCTCACCGGCTGCAGCAGGTGCTCCCACACACTGTTGCGGAACAACGCCTGCTCCCAGTCAGTAGGCCGGGGAGAATAGGGCGGGACGGGGGAGGGGGGAAGGGGGGGGGAGGAAGAGGTGGAATTTTGAGGCGCCTCAAAGATCGGGCTGCAGCAACTGTTGCGGAACAACGCCTGCTCGCAGTAGGCCGCGGACAAAGCGAGAGGGGGGAAATGGGGGCGCAGGAGGCGGAGGGGGAGGGCAAGCAGGAAGTTGGGGTTGGCTAGAGATCAGTTGGGGAAAAGAACGAGGAAAGTAACGGCCTATCCAAACTACCCTCACAACAAGGCCCCCCCCCAGCGCGCCCTGCCTAAGCCTAACCTCCCTAAACCCAACCCCCCACCCGTGTCCCCACTCCTTAAAACTCGCAGCTACCCTCTCACCCTCTCACCTCCAGCAGGAACGCGTCCGCCCCTCCCAGCGCTACAAGCCTCAGAAACGCCACCATGTCGTCAGGCACGCCCTGCCCGGCCACAATGTCGAAGTCCGCCACAGCAGCCAGCCCGCTCTGCTCCGCAATGTCCGCCTTGTCGTCAAAGAACCGGTCACTCTCCGCAATCTCCAGCGTGAGCGAGAAGGCGTCGCGGGTCCCCGCGCCCGTGGCTGCGGCTGCCGCGGCGGCCTTTGCGGCGACCTTGGCTGCCTCCACTGCGGCCACAGCTTTGCCTACTGATACCATGCTCGACACGTTGCTTACGCCGCTGGCCACCCCGCTGGCCACGCTGCTCACCAGCGCGCCGAGTGCGCCCTGCTGCTGCTGCTCCGGCTGCTGGGGGTCTTGAGAGGAGGAGGCGGGGGCGGAGGAGGGGGAGGGGGTGATGGTGGGCGCGTCTACGATGCCGTGGTCGATGGCTAGCTGCGCATTGGACTTTTCCTTGCCGAAATTGACTGTGATCTGAGGGAGAGAGAGACGAGGGGGAGACACCGGGGGAGCCAGAGGGGGAAGGCAAGGGTTGGAGGGAGGGAGCGAGGGGTCGGCGGACAACGGGGAGAGAAGGCTTTGAACGGAGCAGAGCAGAGCAGAAAGCAACGCGGAACAGAGCAGAGCAAAGCAAGGGCGCAGAGACAGCCATTGGCTGCGCTCATCCTTCCCGTGCATGGATGGAATCGGCGCTTTCTGAGAGAAACCAGAGAGAGCAGGGGGGTTGGTCCTCAGGTGTCTCTCACCAGATCACCCTTCTGGTAGGGCTGCCTGGCAGCGCCGGCCACCACGTCCCTGCCTGCAGAGAAGAGCCCCCCGCCCACCGCCCGCGCCTGCCACTTGCCCTCGGGAGAGTCCGTGCTGTGCGACACCTGTGGGGGTGGCGCGTGAGGGGTGCGGTGTGTGGGGGTTGTGGTGTGTGGGATGGGTGGGGAGTGGGTGGTAGGCGAAAGTCAGCAGAAAAATCTATTCGTCAGGTCAATCAACGAAACCTTTGACTGTAGACAACCCTTCCTGCCAGTCCCCCACCCCCACCACCGCCCTGGCTGGCCACTTGCCCTCGGGGGGCTCCGTGCTGTGCGACACCTGTGGGGAGAGAGGGAGGTGATTGACATGTCAAGTGTGCGGCAGAAAGGCCAGCTAAGTTCATTCTGCAAGCCAAGCGAAGCGAAGCGAAGCGAAGCCAAGCCAGCGACTCGTTCCAATAAAAGGACAATCCTCCTTCCTCTTCCTCTCCCTCTACCTCTCTCTCTCCCCCTCTCCTCTGCCCCTCCGCCACTAGGCACACCTCCCCCTCTCCCCCCTTCGCTTCCTTCTGCGCCAGCGCACCATGTCGAGCAACGGCACAAGCGCGGCGTCGTCGCGGGTGAAGGGCGGGAAGGAGCGCGCGCGCAGGAGGGTGAAGGCCCACGTGAAGGCGCCCAGCGAGAAGAGCTCAGGCGCCGGGAAGAGCGCGGGGTTGGGCAGCACTATGGCGTCCAGCGCCGCCTGGTGCTCCGACGCTATGTAGTCCGCGTACTGCTGCTGCAGTGCCAGCAGCTGCGTGCCTGGCAGGGGGGGGGGGGGGGAAGGGAGAGAGAGACGGGGTTGGCTGTGGGGAATGGCTTAGGGTTGGGTTGAGGCACATTGTGCTCCGTCCGTGCTGCTGTCTGGTGCTCCAAGGCTACGTAGTACGCGTACTGCTACTGCAGGGCCAGTGGCTGCGTGCCTGTTGCGGGGGGAGAGGGGGGGGAGGGGGGGGAGGGAGGGGGGAGGTACAGGAGAGTAGCGAGGCAATCAAGTGGAGTGGGGGGAGTGAAGGGAACTGGGGAGGAAGAGGGAGGACGGGGGGGGAGGAGGGGAGAATGCAGGAGAAAGAGGTGCAGGAGAAGGTGGCACATGCACGCATGGCTCCGAGGGAGAGAGGAGAAGGACTGGCACTTGCGTTGCGAGCGAAGTGACAGCAAGGCGGCGGAATGCAAGCCGCGCACACATGAAAAATCTGTCATTTGAAACGAAGCGAAACGAAACGAAACGGAAAACGGTTACACTGTACAGTGTAGCGTGGCAAGAGTGGCAAGAGTGACAAGAAAGGAAGGGGGACCTGGGGAGAGGAGATGGAGTACCTTCCAGCATCTGGAGCTCCTCGTCCGACCTGCAGGCAAGAGAGGTATGGCATGAGAGAAGGGGAGAGAGAGAGAGAGAGAGAGAGAGAGAGAGAGAGAGAGAGAGAGAGAGAGAGAGAGAGAGAGAGAGAGGGAGGGAGGGAGGGAGAGAGAGAGAGAGAGAGAGAGAGAGAGAGAGAGAGAGAGAGAGAGAGAGAGAGAGAGAGAGAGAGAGAGAGAGAGCACGTGGAGAGTGCAATACGGCAGAGATGAGAGATGAGCGCACGATAGGGCAATAAGCCAGAAGTCAGCGCAAGTGGGCGAGGAGTAACGGGGGTGGGGTGAAGGGGGGGGGAGGGGGTGGGGGGGGGGGGAGGGGGTGTTTGTAGCAAGGGAAGCAAGTGGAAAGGAGAGATTGGTATGGGACGAGCGAGAGAGCAGACGGAGTGCAATAGGCCAGGCCAGACAGCACCACAGGTTAGGGCAGGGGCGGTACCAGAGGAGCGGCGAGTTGAGCGTGGCGGGCAGGGTGTCGAGGTAGGGCGCCCACTCGGAGCTGGGGTTGGCTCGCTCGCGGATGACGAACAGCGCCAGCGCCACCCACGGCCTGCGGAGGAGGGGGGGGGGTGAGAGAAAAACGGGGGGGCGCGGGGGAGAGAACGACGGTGGGGGAGAAAGACGGGAGGGGGGGAAAGGAGGGGGGGGGGGGGGGGGAAAGGACATAAAGAGGGACGGAGCAGGTGGTTCTCCCCGTGCTAGGGATCGGAAAGGATTAGGGTGCAAGCGAGCACCACCGGATACGGACCCAGTGCTGAAGGAGGGATGCTGGGTGCTGCGACCTTTCCCAAAGTGGGGTGGGGGGAGGGATGATAAGGAGTGTTAACCGCGGAGATTCGAGGGACTTGAGTGAGCATTGCGCGCCATGGGCAGAGCGCGTCTCATGGATGGTGACATGGCTGAACGTTTCGTGGAAAAAGGGCACGTCAAGCGCGTCAGCTGCTGCATACATCGACCTGGCATAGCATCCCCTGGTACATTCACAGGCTCTAATCGGTGCCATAAAATACGGCTGCTACCCGTACCTGACGGCTCGTGCAACCCGTACCTGACGGCTCGTGCAACCCGTACCTGACGGCTCGTGCAACCCGTACCTGACGTCGTCGCACACGGCGCCAATGTCGGACCTAAGGACCTTGTCGAGCGTCAAGCACGCGCTTAGCGGCACCATCAACAAATCGTCGCCCGACCGGATGTCCCGGTCGGCCACAAGGGCTAGTCGCGGCTGGCCGTCAGCCGCCGTCAAAACTGCCGGCTTGACGACCGCCGGCAAATCCTTGTCGCCGACTCCTTGATCCACCAGCCATTTCCAGAACCGCTCCGCCTTGGCTTCTAGCTGCTCCTTTGTCTCCGCCGCCGCTGTCGCCGCCGCCGCTACCGCTGAGACGGGCTGAACGCGGAGGACCTCCCCCCTGCTAGAACGCGATCGTGATCGGCGGTGAGCGGCAGCGAGGGATGAAGAATGCAGGTTGGGAGCTTTCAGAAGAAGCGGGCGAACGGATGCGATGGATGCGATGGATGCGATGGACGAGAAGGAAGCACGGGTGGAGGGGCAGATCGCTCTGGCTCGCACTGGATGTCGCGGGTGCATGGATTGGATTGCGGATGTCGCGCTTAGGCCAGCTATGCGCGAGATCGAATGCGATGCGACCGCCATGGCGGCAAAATGTACCTCTTTAGCTTCGGAAAGAGGGGAATGGATATGGCTGCTAGAGGCAGCTTGGTGTGGTGTGTGTGCTTCCTAGGCGCATGCACTAGAGATGCTGAATGAGAAATCTCGAAACAAAATGACTCGCATGAGCCAAGGGTTATGAGGTGGTCCAATGAGGTGAGATGCAGAACAGTTGTGTACACTGACGAGGGTGTTGCTGAAGGTGTGGTGAGACAATGCATGAATGTGACACTAAGAGGCCATCCTTTTCACCCGCCTCTTCGACAAACGGTTCTGTTGTGGAATAAGCTTTCGATCAATGAAGTGGTTATGTGGAACTGTTAAACCACACATGGAAATGCCTTGGAAGTTTGAGAAGTCGTCTGGGTTTATGCCCCTAGGGCTGGAAGTGGAAACAGTCCTGCTAACTTTATTGAAACGAGATTTACACAGACGCGGACAACGATTTCCTAGATTTCGGTACTGGATGGTCCGCTTCGAAGAAAGGTGTGCTGTCACTATAGCGGGGGGAATTGTCTCGAAGATTTCACCCGCCAGATGACATTCCTGAGGCCCAGCTGTGTCGGGCTCACTCACTAGCCATCTTGCCTTGCCTCACCCTCACCTCACCACCACCACCAACCATCCATCCACTCATCCCTTCACCCCCATTCATGCTCCTGGGATTCTCACTGCTCTGCTGCACCCAACATCCCTCGATTTTTGTTTCTGCCAGCGTTTGGTTTCACCTGCTGTCCTGGTCCTAGGTCTGTGCATGAGGTGTGTTCGATGGTTCAGCTGGTTCAGCCAGATTCTGTGCTGCTGGTCTGGTTGTTTCCATCTCCACTCTAGTTCGAATGAGTCGATCCGTCAGATTCTATTCCCCTGCGTGGGTCTTTAGTTGCCGCGGTGCCGAGACTGCGTATCCAAGTGCTGGCGGTTAGATCTATGAAGGGCTTTAATTCTGTTTAGTGTCTTACCGTGATCTTAGCGTCGAGACAGAACCTCGCGTGAATCTAGCGATCTAGGTAGCTAATCCAGAGGTTCGGTTCCGTTTTCTAGTCATTGTACGCCTGTAACCCTGGATCTGGTCACCATCCGAAGCGCGATGATCATCATGGCGGATGCAGGTGCCTCCCAGCCGATCTCGAGCACGGCTGCTTCTTAGTAAGTTTCGCACCGGAAATCCTTTCGCACGTGCGACCTTCCCGATCCTGTCACACGTTGCAATCATCGTCGACTTGAATCCTGTCGTAGTATTCAGCCGCTAGAGAGGCCTTTACCACCAGGCTATTACGATCAATTCCTTTAACTCGCGGCGAAGCTGGCACTCTGACTATGTCATTTTTCCACGCTTGTATCCAGGCTTAGAACCCCATGATGCATTCTTATTTACGCACGTGCTCTTTTTCCTGATCGTTGCGTGTAAGCGTCATGAACGAGTGGGATGTCCTGGCGAAATCTCTTAACCCCGCTAAGGGCTTTAGCGGGGGTTGGTATGAAGATACGGGTATCTAATCCTCATTTTCTCCATTACTGCATCTGTTTCACCCCTCCGTGCATCCTTCAGGCCAACCCTGTGAGTTGGGAGTCTAAGAACACTGGTGGGATCCAGTGAGGGAAGTAGCCCTACAGTGTCATGGGCGGGGCATCGGATGAGTGGAACCGCAGGTGGTGGGAGGAGGAAGGCGACGACGATAACTGGGCAACACTACCATCCGCACCCTCCGCACCCTCCGCGCGAGACACCACCAGGCGGGAAGAGACCACAACTGCCAACGAAAATAGCAGCAGCTGTAGCAGCAGCAACGAACGCAACAGGGAGATCGCGAGGTTTAGGGGTTCCGTGGAGGGAGCGGAGGGAGCAGGGGGAGCGGAGGAAGGTCAAGAGATGGTCGTTCTTCGCGAGGACGACAGCATTCGCTGGGATGCGGAGGCCGAGTCACGCCTCCCACTCCTGGGCTCCATTGGTTCCTCGAGCGGCGTGCGCGAGAGAGCGGCGGCTGCAGCGGCGGCAGGTGGCTGGTGGGGCAGGGCGGCCGCCAGCCAAGGCTCTGAGAGGAGAGCGCTGGGATCGGACCAGGCGGTGGGAAACGGGACGGGGAATGGTCTGCTTGGCAGTGATGGTCGGGGGGTTGGGGCTGGAGATCGAGAAGGCGCGGAAGCGCGAGAGGAGGAGGGGTCAGAAGGCGGGATGCGCAGACGGCGGCCGTGGAAGTATGAAGAGCGGGCGACGGGGGCTCCTGAATTCAAGGAGGATCTTCGCTCGTGGGCGTTCAGCAAGGGGGACGGCTTGGCGAAGCCGCAGCAGGCGGCGGCGGCAGTGAGCGAGCCTGGTGGGGAGAATGCGGGTGAAGCGACGGATGTAGAGGCGGGGGGGAGTGGCGGGGGATCGTTGGCGGAGTCACGGCTGGAGGATCGGTGGGGCGATGTGGAGCTGATGGCTCGAGAGGTGGCGTCTGCTGCAGAGAGAGAGAGATCGACAGGGGGAGAGAGACCGGGTGATAGGGAGGGATACGCAGAGGCACAGGGGTTGGCGGAGAAAGTGGGGTCGGATAAGTCGGAAGAACGGGAGAGGTCGGAAACACAAGGAGGTGGTGGTGGTGGTGGTGGTGGTGGTGGTGGTGGTGGTGGTGGTGGTGGTGGTGAGGGTGAGGATGAATCTGGGGTGGAGTGTGTCTCTGGTGCCGCTGCTGCTCGGCCCGTTTCGGGCTACAGCAGTGGCACGTTCTCCTCGTCTGCTGGCGCGTCGCTCAACCTAAGGCCCAACGGAGGTATGAAGATCACTGGGAGGCCTAGCACGAGCAAGACCTTTCCCATCCCCATCCCCTCGCCAGCAACTACCACCAGCAGCACCAGCACCAACACCACCAGCACCAGTACCACCGCCACCAGCACTTCCATCTCCCCTTACTCGAGCGCCGCCACCATCGCGAGCATGCCGTCGTCTGCAAGCAGAGCAGCAGCAGCGGCGGCAACGGCTCGGGCGTCAGGGCTGGACAGTCTGTTGGAGCTGAGTGCGTATGAAGACCTCGACCTGCACTCCATCATGGCGCTCTCCGACCTCGTGCGCCACGCCCCCACCCCCACACCCGCCTCCTCCTCCTCCTCCTCCGCCGTCGCCGCGTCGAGCAGAGCTCTCAGCCCGACGGGGTCTGCGGCTATCGGGCAGTCGGCGTCGGCGTCTGGGGTGTACAACCGCCGCGTGGACAGGCAGATCCCACGTGCTGCAGTCGTTGCGCTCCAGGCTGCTGCCGCTGCCAAGACTGGTAAGCTCAGCAACTCTGCCCCTTCTTCCCCCCCCTCCCTCCCTCCCCCCTCCTTTCCCCGCCACCCCCTCCTCCCTCTCACCTCTTCTTCCTCCTTCCAACCCCCCTCCTTTCCCTCCCTTCTCGCCACTCTCCGTTCTCCTCTCAATCCCATCCCTGTCTCTTGGACCCTCTCCTCATTACCCTCCCTCGGCGCTCCAAATGGCTGTTGACGGCTGCATTGCTGCTCTAACTCCACCCCTCGGCCCTCACAGGCTGGCCGCTCAACCTGCAAGCCCGGTCGGGGCTGCACTTCCCTCCGCCGCCCCACCTGGCGACCACGACGCACGCGTGCGACAAGTGCAGCCTGCGCTTCTTCTCGCCGCTCAACCACCGCCGCCACATCCGCATCCACCGCAAGATGCTGCGCACTGAGAAGGTGCGTTGGGCTAGGGCTGGGGACGTTGGAATGCTCCAGCAGCAGTGACGATTACCATGCGCCGCTTGATGCTCTTGGTACCAGCGACAGCTCTCTCCCTTGCTGGGCTGATGAATTCTGGTCTGGCTCTGTTCTACCCTGCTGTTTGCCGCACACGCAGGTTGATTTGTCTGGGATTCGTGGGGATCTTGCGCTCTTCTTAAACAAGGTACGTTGGGTTCACTCGACCCTCGGAATTGTTTGTTGTCTTGTTTCTAGTGGTCGGCCTTTCTTTTTGCTGGTCTTCCCTTTGAGCTGATTGCGCTTGGGTGTCTTCTCTTGTGTGCTGCACTGTGTGTCCGTGTTTGTGCACGGTGCAGCTGGGTATGCCAGCAGTGCTCGACCACATATCGCTGCAGGCTCTCTCTGTCGAGGTGCGTACTTGATTGTGCCTTGCCCCCACCACTATCATCCAATCTCTGCTGGTCACCTTTACAGCCAGCCTGAGCATCTTCCCTTTCTCCCCCCATGCTCTGCCATTATATGGTGCTGTGTCTCTTCATAAGGGCCGCTCTGAAAGCATTGTTCAGGGCTTGTTTGAAATCTTCTTCTTCTTCTTCTTCTTCTTCTTCTCTAATGGGCCTGTTTCCTTGTGCAGGGTATTCAGCTGGTGGACCGTCTCTCCTCCCTGGTGGACCACCATCGCTTCCCCTTTGTGTCGCCCATTGCACCACCACTCCCACCGTACCTCAAGCTCGGCCCAGACCTTGTCGTACGTCTCTCTCTTCTTCCCTCTCCTACCTTACCCCAGCCCTGGCGAGGCACCTGTGCTGCTGCTGCCGAATCTGAATCCTTGCTGTAACTGCATGGCCCCTGGCATTGATTGACCCACCAACACCCATGCGCTCTCCCCACCCCCTCCCCCTCTCACCCCCGCCCTCCCCCCCGCCCTACCCCCCGCCCTACCCCTTGCCACAACCCCCCACACTCATGCGCTCTCACTTCCGTTCTCGTCTTAACATGCACGTGCGCCCACACACTCGCACACCCACTCTCCCTCTTCTCCCTCTGCCCGCCACGCCCCCAGGCGGTGGTGTTGAGCAAGGAGCTGCTGTGCGAGGACGACCTCTTTGCCATGCCAGGCTCTTGGCATGTCTCAGAATCCCACTTCCTCTCTTCCTCTCTTTCTGCCCCCCCCCCTCCCCCCCCCCCCCCCCGCCCCCCCGTCCCACTCCTCCTACAGGCGGTGGTGTTGAACAAGGAGCTGCTGTGCGAGGACGACCTCTTTGCCATGCTGGACGCCGCCAGCGAGCGCACCTTCCTGCAGGGGGGCACGTCCCCCGCCGTGCACCGCTTCGTCTTCCAAGCCACCGGGACCAGCGGCAGCGGCAGCGGTGGCGGCGGTGGTAGTGGTGGTGGGGGTGGGGGGGTTGGTGGCGTGGGGGGTGGCAGCAACGGGCGGATTAAAGTGATGCGCCTGCATGACAAGGACCTGGTGGCGGCTCTGGCGTTCCTCATTGAGCAGAAACTCGTAAGCATGCATGATTGCCCACCCTGAAGCGTCCCCATCTCCACTTTCTCGCTTTCCCCTGATCCCAGTCCCTTTTCCCCACTAACCTTCCTCCCAGTTCCCCTTCCCTCCCTTTCTTCAGCAGGAAACTCGTGCTACTTGAAGGACATTATGCGAATGTGTTGCATCTTCTGCCTCTCAGTCTTGGTGCGGGGAAGCGCCTTTGCATGTTACCGCCTCCCCATTTCTCTTGTCACCTGCTCTCCCTCGCCCTCTCCCTGTGCGTGGTCAGGCGGATGCGTACGTGGCAGGAAGCCCGTGGGTCTGCTGCCCTTTTGAGTCGACTCAAAAGCCATCGCTTCTCACGTGCTTATCACTTGCTCTCCCGCTCTCCTCCCCCCCCCCCACCCCCACCTCCCTGTGCCTGGTCAGGTGGATGCGTACATGGCAGCGCGTGAGGCTGCTGCGCTCGAGCAGCAGCACCTGCTGGTGGAGGAGGAAGCAGCTGCCATGCACAAGTACGCCCGCCCTCACGCTTGTCCCCCTGTCCACGCACTCCCCTCCCTACCTTTTTACTTATCGCCTTTATCCTTGTCTGCTTGTGTGCTTGTCGTGTTTGCCCTCGCCTGTTTGTCTGCCGCCCCTCTTCCCTCGTTCCTCCTCGCAATGGCCCTCTCTTCTCTTCCGTTTCATGCCAGTAGCGTCACCTTTTCCTCTTTGCTCGTGAGACATGCGATGGAAGATGCGAGAAGCAGCCGGTACGAAACTCTCAGCATCTGCTTCGTGTTTCAGCGCCCCGTCTCCTGTGCTTGCTGTCTCTTCCTTCTCCCTGACAGGCGGGCGCGGCTGCAGCAGCGCAGGCGGCAGAAGCGGCAGAGGCAGAGAGGAGGGGGCAAGGCGGTTGACAAGGGGGGCCAACAGGGGTCCAATGGTCTCCATGGTGTGGGGGTAACGGGGGTCATTGGGACCTGGGGGAAAGAGGATGATTCGGATAAAGAGGAGGAAGAGGAGGAGGAAGAAGAGGAGGAAGAAGCGGAGGACGAGGAGGCGGAGGTGGAGGAGGAAGTGGAGGAGGAGGTAGTGGAAGACGAGGAGGACGAAGAGGAGGACGAAGAAGAGGAAGAGGAGGAGGAGAAGGAGGGAGAGGAGGATGGGGGTGAGAAAGAGGGGGGAGAGGAGGAGGAAGATGGGGCGAAGAAGGAGCCGCAGCAACTGCAGCAACAGCAGCAAGTGCAGCAGCAGCAAGCAGGGGGCGACAGCAGCTCTGACGGGCTCTCATCTGAGTCCCTCGACTCTCCCAAGTGCGCTAGGGTGCACCCAGCGCCCATGCCAGGCACAGACGGCGCGGACGGCGAGAAAACGAAGGAGCCTGGGTGCCACACAGGTGAAAGGAGAGGGGGAGCAGTTGCAGGGACTCGTGCTACTGGCGCACAGGGCCGTCCAGGAACGGTTTCTGCCCCCGGCGGTGGAGCGACGGATAGCAGTCTAGACTCGTCGAACGCCAGGGGGGCAGCTGCAGGAGCGAGTGCAGCAGGAGGGCCAAGGGCAGGCGCAGGCGCAGGTGTAGGTTTAGGCTTAGGAGTGGCAGTTACAAATACAGCTACAGGTTCGGGTTCAGGTTCGGGTTCAGGTTCAGCTGTAGGTGTAGGTTCAAGTGGTGCAAGGACAGGAGGAGCAGGGGGCAGGAGGGGTCGTGGCAGGGCGGGGCAAGGGGCAGGCGGGGAGAGGGGCGAGCAGGGCAGGGGACGGCAGCAGTGGAGTGGGAAGAGGGAAGCCGTGGGGCCTTATGCTGGAGTGCCGCTGGACACTGGTGCGCCTGCTGCCTGTCCTGCCAGTGCTGGCGGTGCTGGCAGTCGTGGCAGTGCTGGCAGTGCTGCTGCTGTTGAGAACGCGGCTTCTTCTAGAGGGCGGGCAGAAGGGAGGGAGCAGCAGCAGAGTAATGCTGCCAGCGATGGGTCCGGCGCTCCTGGCAGGGTTGAGTCAGGGCAGTCTGGTCGGGGCTTGAGGGACGGAGGACGCGGAGGGGGCCCGGGCAGTGGGAGGGAGAGATATGTGATTGCAGGGAAGTCTGGGCAGCAGGGTAGGGCCGAGATAAGGTCTGCGAGCGGCTTGGGGGCTGCTGTGGTGTCCGGGGCCGGTGCTGCTGGACCCTTGGAGGGGGTGAGAGTCTTGGGGGAAGCAGAAGTAGTGGCGGCTGCACCAGTAGTCTTGCCAGTAGCAACAGCTGTAGCAGCAGCGGCTGTAGAACCAGTGGCACCAGTAGCAGCAGCAGTAGCAGCAGAAGCAGCAGTAGCAGCAGTAGCACCAGCAACCCCAGCAGTAGCGCCGGTAGCAATAGCAATAGCACCAGTAGCACCAGTAGCAGTAGCACCAGAGGCACCAGCAGCAGCAGTAGCAGCAGCCACAGATGCGAGCAGGAAAACGGCAGTAGAGGGTTCCCTGAGGCAGATGCTGCAGCTTGACCCTCCTCCTAGCGTCTCTGGCACCTCTGGTGCTGCGAATGGTGCTGATGCTGCGGGTGATGGTGCTTCCAGCGCCAAAGCTCGAGTGGTTGTGATAGGAAGCATGGTAGTTCCCTTGGTAGGCACTAGCAGTGCTGCCAAACGCCCTCTCGTCGACGCCCACCCCGCCAACGCCCACCCGACAAACGCCAACCCCAGCAACACCAGCCCTGGCAACACCAGCTCAGCTTCCCCTGCTGCTGCAGTGGTGCAGGCAGCAGGTCAAAGTGCTCTCAGCGAGAAGCACACACAAGAGCAGCGTGCACAGGCACAGCAGGCACCGAGTCACGAGCAGCAGCAAGCAGCAGAGTCGTTGCTGGTTGATGCTGCGCGGAGTGAGGCTGATGCGCACCTGAGGGCTGTTCTGCTCCATGCGTTGCGCCTCATGAGGAACCGTATGCCCCCCTACTCCACCCTCTTCCCTTGCCTCTTCGCCCACTTATTCCATCGTCTCCTCCTCCTGTGGCAGTTCGTTCCTTCTCCTTGACGTCTCTGCTTGAGCGCCTCTTTTCCTGACCTTCCACCTTGTTCCCTCGCCCCATGCCATGCTGTCTTCCACCTTACTCTTTTTCTCCCCCCCCCCCCTCCCCCCCCCTCCCCCCATTCAGCCTGGTCCTTCAGCGAGTCTTCTGATCTCTCTTATCATCCATTCCTCCTCAATTTCTCCTCCCTTCCTCCTCGCTTCCTCCCCTCTTCCTCTCCCTCCCTCCCTTCCCACCACAGGATGGGACGCCGCCATCTCTTCCCCTGATGCCACTATTTTGCAGCACAGCATCTCCTCCCCCTCTCCTCCAACAACATCCACCCACACGCCCTTCCTGCACCGCCTCTGGTCCCAGCTCAACCACCCCCACTCCCTCCCTCCTCCTTCCTCGGATCCTGCCAACGGCACCAGCAGCACCACCAGCAGCAGCACCGATAATGTGACGAGCAATGGGCACTTACCTGTTGCCAGCAGCAGCAGCAGCAGCAGTAGCTTTGTGGGTGCAATTTGCCAGGAGACTGATAATCTTGGGAATGGGCAGGTAGTGTTGGGTACGCAAGTGGAGCAGGATGCGAGGGAGGGTGGAGGCAACCGAGGGGAGGATTCTGTAGGAGAAGGGAGGGTAGGCGGGGCGTTGGGAGAGACACGTGCGACACCTGCTGCTGCTGCTGCTGCTGCTGCTGCTGCTTCTGCTTCTGCTACTGCAGCTACAGCTGCTACTGCTGCGACTACTAGTGGCAGTGGAGCTGCGAGTTCAAATGCAGGTGCTGGTACCAGCGCACTGGCAAACGGCCAGCCTGCCACTGATGCAGGTGCTGCAGCCAGCCCGCCTCCTCCTGCTACTGTTGCCACTGCCGATGCTGCCGCTGGTGCACCTGCTGCTAGTGGGGCTTCCGCGCTTGGTGGTACGAGTGGTGGCAGTGGAAGCAGTGTGGTGGCAGCTGCTGAAGGGGGTGGGGGTGGGAGTGGGAGTGGGAGTAGGAGTGGGAGTGCAGGCAGTAGTGGCAGGGGCCGTGGTGGTGTGGGCGGTAGTGGTGTCTCACAAGCGCCTACTTCTAGCCGCAGGGAGTCAAGGGCAAGAGGCAAGAGAGGGGGGAGGTGATGTGGGACGGTTGTTGTGGGGTGATGGTGATGGTGATGCTGCCGATGGTGGTTGGTGATGATAATAATGATGATAATGACTGGAGTAATGGTGGGTTTTAATGGTGGTGGTGATGATAGTGATGGTGGTTGTGGCCCTCGTCGTGATGCAGTGTTGTGAGCGGACGTACTATGGCACACGGTCATAACAGCCATTGCTGCTACTCTGTGGGGTCAGGACTGGCTCTGTCGAGGCATTACTGTTGCCAATGCCAAAGCTCATGCTCATGCGCATGCTGGTGCGCACGCCCGCCGCGTTGCCGCAGTGCAGTGCGCAGCTGTAGATGAGTCGTCGTGGCACGCAGTGACCTGACCTCCCTTCTACAGTGTCCAAATAGGGGTTGCTGCTTTCGCCGATCCCTGCCTCTGTGTTCGTCCGGGCAGTTCTGTGGGTGCGTCTGGTATCCCGCATACTCCTCCAGCTTGTTGGTTGGTGGGGGCTTTCGTCTACTCCAGCAAGCTGTGAATCGCTGGAGGAGCCAGTTGTCAGCAGGGCAGCCATGAGGTCATGGGTCAGCGGTGCAGCCGTGAGGTCATGGGTCAGCGGGGCAGCCATAGCAGGGTGCAGCACAGCCCTTGTGGAGTTGCTGCTGCTGCCACCTCCTGCCGGTTCTCAGCAGCCCATCATGCCTCCTCTCCTTTTCGCTCTCCGTCTCTTGCTCTCGCTCTCACTCTCACCCTCTCACATCCATGTTCTTTGACACACATACGCATATCACCCTTCCCTTTCCCCTTCACGTCCTACTATCCTGCTATCCTACTATCCTACCATCCTGCTCATGCCTAAGTCTGCACGTTGTTACACGGTTGAACTCCCCTGTTCATACCACTGATGCACATATACTCGCTGTGTGCTCCCTCCCTCTCCTACTTCCACCTACCCCCCTCGCCCTCTTCCGCTCCCTCTCCACTTCACACGCACGCGCCCATACATGCGATTGCATTAACGTGCACAAGACCGACACGCTTTGACCGATCCATTCACAAACCAACCCACTGCACATGCACGCTAGCAGAAACTTACAGCGCAGGCATGCAGTGCAGGCGCACAGCACACACATACCTGCATTAGTGTGTATGCGGCATAGTCCCCCTCGTTGGGCGTCAATGTTCTCCCCATGATGGTTCTTGTGTTGCTCATGATGAGACTTTCATCCATTCCATCATTTGTTGGTAGTTGTGTGGCTTTGATATGGCTACAAGCATCTGTTCTGAGGGTGTAGTGAAGAAGTTGTATGCTGAAATGAAACTTGATGTTTTGTTATGGAATTCTAGGATTGGCCTAGAAAATGATGAGGAAATGCTTCAGAGATGTCAACCGAATCTAAGAAGTGAGTTTCAACTAAGTCACAAACAGTCCTAAAGGATCTGGGAGTTTACCCTCTAGAAACATTCCCAACCCATCCAACCAAATTACTCTACACTACCAGACTTCTAGTCAATCAGCTATATGTGTGTTTATTCGAGCAACCTAGATATTCCCATAATTCCAACAGTAATAGCCTCCAGTGCAATGGAGTAACAGGTCACGGCAAGTTGCTATGCCGTGCGGCCGTGCCCCTCCCTCCCTGGCTCCCCAGTCTTGCACTTCAAGTACAACATTGCACGGCACCTTGAAATGCCACCCTCAACAGGTTCAAAAGGCTCCACACACAGGCACGGAAAAATGGTTCCCTTGCACTCGGGCACGGCCGCACGGGCAGGAGATGCTGTGGGGCAGTGGTGCCCCGATGGCGGTGCACTCATAGCAAGGCCCCTTGCTGCTACCCCACATGCTGCTGCTACGCCGCACCTGCTGCCTTCTGCCATGCAACGAGATAGGCATGGGTGAGGAACGGAAGAAAGGAAATGGATTGAGGGGAGAGATGGAGATAAATTTGAAGGAGATACAGTTCGTGCATGGAAAACGACGGTGAGAGGGCATAGGGAAGACTCGCTCACAAGAAGACCGCAAGCTGCACAGGCGAAGACAAACGAGTAGCTAGTGGGATTATGATAGAAGCGATGACGTCACCTGAGGGCCATGATGACCTCAGCAGCGTCCAGTTGCTCCCCTGCATGGGGTCTGAGCCATCGTGCCATGGTGCCATGGAACGATGGTTCCTGCTGCAATGCTGCCAGCACCAACGCCCTCTCCACCTGGTCAACCGCACTCATTGGTGCCGCTGCTGCTGCTGCTGCTGCTGCTGCTGCTGCTGCTGCTGCTGCTGATGATGATGATGATGTTGATGGTGACGATGAAAACGCGGATGTTGAAACGGGTGATCCTGGCATGCCCTGATCGTCCTCTGACGACGCTTTTTGAACCTCCTTCCTGGCATGCGTGCAGCTGCCCATGCGCGCTACAGCCTCTGTGCCGCCATACGAGCCCCCAACAGGAACCCCAAACACCTCCACTCTCTCCAAGCACACAAACTGCCCCCCCCCCTCCCCATCCTCGCCCTCTTCCCCTTCTTCCCCCTCTTCCACACCCTCCCCCTCTGCATCACCTTCGTGCTGCCCGCAGGGAGTGAGGGGGAAGAGCCCTGTCAGGTGGATTCTCAGGTGGGAGCCGGCAACGAGGGCGGCCGGTGGCAAGGTGAGGGAGTGGGGCTGCAGCCAGTCGGGGGAGAGGCGGAGAGGGGGGGAGGTGTAGTGGAAGGAATTGGGGGAGAAACCCACTTGCACCTGGTGTGGGGAAGAGAGAGAAGACAGGATGGGATGGTGAATGGAGGGGTGGTGGACTGAGGAGGAGATGGTTGAAGGAACAACAAAACATGCAGTTAAAGGATGACTTCTGTTAAATCGGCTCCAGTAACTTTGCCTTATGCAACATGCCCGCCATGCCCCCCATGCGACATGACTAAGACACGTCACCCACACCTGCATGTGGTTTACTCCCGAGGAGCCATAGAGGGGCGCGGGCGTGACCAGCACAGACGCCACCACGCACAGAGGGTGCGCCAGAGCCACTGTCACGAACTCCCCTGCCCCCCTCGATGCCGCGCTCCCTGCTCTTCCACATGGCACGTCATGCCGCATGCTCTCCTCACCCCGCCTTGCTCTGGCCCGCGGCTATGCAGTGAGGTGGGTGGGTGGGTGGGTGGGTGGGTGGGTGGGTGGGTGTTAGGGGAGGGGACATGGTAGAGAGGAGGGTGGTGCATTGAGGGCGGGGGATAGAAACTGGCACATACTCTCTCTTGTTTGGAAGCTGGATGGATTTCTGAACCTTCCTCCTAGATCACACCCACCCTGTGTGTTATGCGTCTCAAGCATTCTCCAGATTCGGATCATCCACCTTCCTTCCACCACCCATTCTTCACCACTCAACCTCACTCTCTCCCCTCTCGCTTTTCCTTCCCTCCCGCCTCGCGTTCTCACCTCGCTGCACCACATTCCGCCGTCTCCCCCGCTGCCCATCCCCTGCACCCCCCACTCGCCCCGCTCACTCGAGCAGTCCACCCCCCGTGCCGCCAGCCGCTCTACCCGCCCGCCCCACTGCGTCCTTGCCAGCACCAACGCGCCAAACAGCCCCTTCCACTGCGCCGCTCCTTCCCCCTTTCCCCCGCCTCCCCCTCCCCCTCCCCCTCTCCCCTCCTCCCCACGTGCCGCAATAGGCGGGTGGCAGGGGAAGGTGGTGAGACAGCGCTGCTGCCACAACGACTCCGAGGCTGGGGGGCATGGAAGGGGGGCATGGAAGGGGGGCATGGAAGGGGGGCATGGAAGGGGGGCATGGAAGGGGGGCATGGAAGGGGAGAGCGAGGGAGTGCACAAATGGGGGCGGATGGGGCGGATAGGGTGTGTGTGTCTGTTGTATGGTGCCTGCCACAGCGTGCATAAGCTTAGACCAAGTACAGAAGCAGTTCACAGCACAGCACACTCACAAGCGGCGCGGCGCCAGCAGCGGCAGACAGCCGCCATGGCGCAGAGGTCAGAGGCGGTGAGGTGCGGTGCAATGCTGGTCTCAACCACCTCCGCGGGTAGACAGCACAGGGCGTGGCAGGCGGCAGATGCCACAAGTCGACGCTGACTATCATGCTCCTCCTCCTCCTTCTCTTGCTGCTGCTCCTGCTGCTCCTGTTGCTGCTCCTGCTGCTGCTGCTGCTGCTGTTGCTGCTGCTGCTGCTGTTTCTGCTGCTGCTCTTGATGCTCCTGACGCGCCTGATGCAGAGATCCTTCGTGGCGTTGGCTCTCAGCACGAGCCACAGGAGCACGGCAGTGCACGCGGCCTGGACCCATCGTCACGACCTTGGTGGTAGCTTCAAGCTGGTGCCTAAATCGCACGCAGATCGATTACCCGAAGGAACGGACCACGCGAGCTGGAGGAGCAGCGAGATGCGCTCTGGATCATGCGAGTGACCTGGGCACACCTGGATCGAACATCCAATCGATCATTCAGAGACAGCTGCTACGATCGCACGATTCACAGCGCTGGAGCAGGGGTCAGGCAGGGCTTGGCTTTCAAGTAGGCGAGGACTTGTATCGTATCGCACGTTGTTGACTGTGCGAGCTGGTCGACGGCTGACATAGAATCCGAGGCTGATGCCGGGCGGAGAGAGAGGGCTGACATCGCTTCAACCTGGCTCCAGCCTGGGTGTGCTGGCGTCGATTGAGGTGAGCGGGTGGCGCATCGCAGCATCGGCGGTGGGGTGGGTGCTCCCAGAATCGACGAGAGGGATGAATTCTCGTGGGTTCTCTTCGGACGCCATCGGAAGCAACGACTGGGGTTGCGGCCCCAACCAACCACTGACTGACGGAAAGGTTTGCGCCATGGTTTTCATTCGGAGGGGTGTTGAAGTGATGGGTTCGGAGGTCCCAAGGCGATGCTGGTTTGGGGGAGAGCGAACGGCAAGCGAGTGTCGCTGAGCGACGGGCTCGACGAAATGCGACGAGAAGTGATGAGAGTCGTCGTCGCGGCGCTGCTGCATGCCATGGAACGGGGGCGGCGTACGTCCCCGGGCATTCAGCATGCTCCAATCGAAAGAGGCGGGTGGAGTCGCGCGGAAGCAGAGGCGCGAGGATATAGTCCGCATGGAGCTGACGAAGGGGGAATTCCAGGCCCAGTCGGCCCGTGAGGGAGCGCGAGCGACGTGCATGGGTTGCTGGCTAGCCTGCTTGTGGGCGCGCCGGAAGCTGCATGGGAATTAGCGCCCTACACCTGGTAATGTCGTTCCAATCGAGGAGGAAATCTGATAGAGTTTCTGCTGCTCTGCCTTAGGCCCTCCCCTCACCAGCATTTGCTTCTCATTCGGGAATTTGCGCCCTTTATAAAAGAATACGCGATATGGTGATGAGCTCACAAATATAAGCGAGCAGCACTGGTATGAACGATGGTATGAATCATCATAGGCCAAGTGTTTGTCCACGTGGCGAGATGCCTTGCTGACACTGTACAACACCATGACGGCGCGGCCTAGCTGGAACACATGCGACGTGTGCGACACGCCAACCCAGCCTGACTCCGCCTGATTGTCTTCCAACTCCAGCACGTTACATGTTACAAATCTCGGCGACCGACTTCTGACCCGAGCTACACAGCCATTCTCTTCGCATCCCCGACCTTCCCCTTCGCTTCAAAAAAGGGCTGACAGGAGGCAGCTGCCTGTCTGCTGTCAGAGGGAATTACGTCAGATGCTTTGCACCTCGACGAGGGAGGTGGGGAAGGAGAACATTCTCCCAGCGGTTTGTTGATGGGTTGAACAAGTGCTGCTTGGAGAAAGGGGAAAGGTGAGTTTTTGCGGGGGGGAGCATTGTTGGCAGGGAATCTTGGGAAGAACATCACCTCACCACCACCTCTTGACTCGGTTCATTAGTCTCGAGCCCACTCTGCTAGATTCGCGCTCTTTCACGATGGAAGATTCGGGGTCCTTCGATACAGGAGGCGGCTTCGATAGTAGCACTTCCGATTTCGGTAGTCACGACCCGGGCGGCGGGCACTTTAGCGGAGGGTATTCGAGCGGAGGCGGGACCTTGGGTGGTGGCGGCGGCGAACACGCCGCGTTTGGCGGAGGCGATATTTTTAGCGGCGGTTTTTTTTCGGGTGGTGCATCAATGAACCAACGCCAAGTCGAAGACGACGCGGGTCGCACTGACGCTGGCGCGTTCGACGTTCCGCCAACCGCCGCAGGCGGCGGCAGCGGCGGCGGCAGTGGCGGAGGCGGAGGCGGAGATTCGTCCTGGCTTCCGCCAATCGCGGCGGGCTTGGGCGGGTTTGCTCTGGGGCGCATGACGGCGGGCGGAGGCGGTCCCTGGGGAGGCGGAAGCGGCTCGCACGGGGATGCCAGCTGTCACCGTAGCGAGTACGGGGATGCACATCGCTGCCACCCCCACCATCCCCATCACCCCCATCACCCACACCACCCGCACCACCCCCACCATCCCCATCACCATCACGACGACGACGCGTGTCCTGCCGTCGACCCATGCCTCCACCCTGATTCCGGTGGCTATTTCCCGCCGCCACCGGGCTACAGCCCTTCTCGTCTTCCGTCCCACCCTTTACGCCCCCCCAGCGCGCCGCCCGCGCATGCCTCCGTCCCGCCCGCCCAGTCCGCGGGGGGCGCGAGGCGGTGGCCGCCACACCCGGCGGTGGAGCACTCGGGGCGGTTTCCGGCGGCGAGATACCAGCGGCCGTGGCCGCCCGTGTGGGTGATCGTGATGAAATGGCTGCCGTGGGTCGCCGTTGCTCGTGAGTAGAGGGGGGGGAGGGAGGGGGGGGGGGGGAGGGAGGGGGGGGGTAGGGGGGGATGAGCTTGTTACACTGGTTACTGTTTAATTGCCTCTAAACCGGCCGTTTAGGCGCCTTAGAACGGACCCGTGTGGCTAGTGCGTGCACGGATGCGATGGACGTGCTGCTGTGGGTCGCCGTTGCCCTCGAGTAGCGGGCTCCGGGCGGCGCCTTGTGGGATTCTGAGACGTTTGAGGGACGTTTGGGGCTGATGTGTTCGGGAGCAGCAGCAGCAGCAGCAGGGGTTCGGCGGGGAGTGAGGCGGAGAGAGCTTGCCGCATTGGGTTGGGGGTCGTCTCGTCGGTGAGTCGTCTTCGGTGAGGCGCTGTGTGCAGTTCCAGCTGGGACCCGGAATCACTCTGTGCGGCGTGCACCAAGGCAGACAGCATTCCTTTTGAACCCGAGCTGCACGGCGTGCGGCGCTCAGAAGGGCGGCCAGGAAGGGCTTGCAGAAGCGGATGCGGGCTGGGGGTCGTCGGGCAAAAGGACGAAGGGCTTGCATCCCGTCCCATCCCATCCCATCCCATCCCATACACATTAAATGCACCCCCCCCCCCCCCCCCCCACATCGTTCGCTCTCTCGCCCTCTCTCCCTCCTCCCGTTTCCCCCTCTTCTTACTCCCACACCTCCCCCCCATCAGTGGCGGTGTGGCTGTTCGCGGTGGGCAATGCGCCTGTCGCTGTGGACCTGCATCCGCACGAGCACCACCTGCTCACCGCCTACTCGCCCCTCGTTGCCGGCATTCAGGTGGGCACCTGTGCGGGTGGAATAAGAGGGGCGGAGAGAGGGGATCAGGTTGGCGTTAGGTGGGCGAGTGTGGGTGGGTAGGTGCATGCGTGGAAGTATGTGCCTGTGTGTGTGCACGTGCGTGTGCTCTAGTTGTTGCTGTTAATGTGCGTTGCATAGTGAAACAACAATGTGGCATCCCATTTTCACAACCCATTTCCGAACAATCACCCGCCCCGCCCCCCCAGGTGTCGCCTCTCGCGCCGATGCCGGCCCCCCCGCCTATGCTGGTGACATTCGCGCACTACCCGCCCATCGTGAACGAGCACTGGGACACGGGCCGCAGGAACGTGCGCGTGGAGCCCTACTCCTACCGGGTGAGCCGAGACACTGCAAGCAGTGATGCACTGCACATGGAGGTACGTACACGGTACACAGGGTATGGAAGTACAGGGTACACGGGGTGTTTTTGAAAATTCTCAAAAACACCCTGCAAAATGGAAGTACAGGGTACACGGGGTGTTTTTGAAAATTCTCAAAAACACCCTGCAAAATGGAAGTACAGGGTACACGGGGTTGACACAATGAATGAACTCACGAAACTGTAGGTGCTGACGACACCGGCATGCTCGACATGGCACAACGAAATGTGCACAGCACACCCCTGCAAGTGTGTGCTGCGTGTACGACACACACAGCTGCCCGTGCACTTCTAACAGCCTTCCTCCTGGTCTCGACTTAACCCGTTGCTTGCTGCTTGCCTATCAACTCAACCCGTCGTTGATCAGCTGTGTTCTTCCTCCCATGGCGCTTCTCCCCTCGTCCACTTGCCTCCCCCACCTCTCCCCCCTCCCCTCTCCCCCCTCTCCCCCGCCCCAGAGCTGGCTGATCTACTTGAACAAGTGGTCGCAGGTGGTGATGGCGTGCTCCACCATCCACGCCCCCCCCGGCCTCACACTGCAGTTGCTCGTCATCGAAGGTACCAGGCCAGAAGTTCCCCACACCCCTCTTTTGAGACCATGTAAAAAATTCACACTCCACGCCCCCCCTGGCCTCCCCACACTTGAGTTCCTCGTTATTGAAGGTAGGTACCCCCCTTCCCCCTTCCTCCTTCCCTCCCTCCTCTCCGCCCCCACCCCCCCTTTCCTCCCTCGTCTCTCTAAGAACCGTTTTCCCTTCCAATTGATCTGTGCCTTGTGCCATGAAGCGCTTATTTCGATGTACTCTTGCCTGCAGTCTGCAAACTGCCGCGGTTGTTGCGGGTGGGTCGTTTTTCATGTGTGTGCATCTGACCAACGCCTGTGGCATGGCATGGCATGGCATGGCATGGCATGGCATGGCATGACGTGGGTATGGCATGGCATGGCATGGCATGGCATGGCGTGGGTATGGCATGGCATGGCATGGCATGGCATGGCGTGGGTATGGCATGGCATGGCATGGCATGGCATGGCGTGGGTATGGCATGGCAGGTCGGAGTCGCATGGAGGAGTACAAGCACAACCCCATGGCGTTCACTGGAGCACTGAGGAAATACATCATGACAGGTAGGCACTGCAGTGGATTCTCAAAGTGCAACTGTTTATGTGCTGGGACACCGGCCGGCCAGCTGGCGGGTGTTCTGCTTGGGACATACTCAGTTGTTGCTGCTGTTGCTGTTGCCTAAGAGCAGATCACCAGCCGTCGTTGTCTTGTCTAGACACGTGCTCTCGCTGCGCACTTGGCATACATGCGCTTGATTCCTTCACGCCCTTGCCGGTTCCTGTCTCTGCCTTGTCCTGATTCTATGATCTCCTATTCCTCCTGCACCACCTTAAGCAACCCCGTCACTCCCGTGCTCTGACTCCAAATGGCAGTGTCGTGTTTTCATGCGTCTTTTGCTTCCAGGTGACGATTCGTGGACGTTCCAGGTGCCGAGGGACGGCGACTACTACTTTGTTCTCAGCAACTACTACACCTACCCCGCTACCGTGAGTTGGGAGTGCGTTTGAATCAGGGTAAAAAAGGCAAAAGCAAATGCTCCACCTACCCTGAGACCGTGAGTCGCGAGGGCCTATGGTCGGCACTCACTCTTCTTTTCAGGGCGTGTTTCCACAGTTGCGCTTCCACGTTCGCACGCAAATGGTATTAATTGACTCCAGAATAGAATGATTACGGGAATTTCACGAACAGAGGGAACAAAAAGCAGAGTACGGTTGAGGGATTGAGGATGTGTTTTTTTAAGTCTGTCTTCCAATGCCCAGAGCCATGCCGTCATGAGTATTCGGTTTGCCTGTTGGCTTCTCTTCTCTTGGTGCCTTATCCTTCGCCCTGCCTTCACGCCTTGCTGCCTTCTTTGGCCCCGTGACTTCATGCCGCCAGGTGGATGTTCACTTCGCAGTGACCAGTGTACTCTTCGACATCAGCAAGGGCAAGAAGGCTTGCAAAATCAAGGGCAAGCCGGCTGCTACCCGTGGCTATGGCGCTACTACTTATGGCCCGTGGAACGGCGCCTGGAGTGGCGCTGGGAATGGCACTGAAACTGGCTCTTTGGCGGCTGCTCTTGGTGTTGTGGATGGGCCGAGTGGCGTGAATGGAGCGTATGGCATGGGTGGAAGGAGACTAATGGATGGTGGGAATGGCGGCGGCGGGCTCGTGAATGTGTCAGCGGTTGCTGTTCTCCGCAGCACGGCTGCTGCTGGCCACGATACTGCTCATCTGGCGACTGGAGATGGCGGTAGTGAGGCTTATAACGAGAAAAACGATAATAACAGTGATGATGACGATGACGATGACGAGGATAGTGATGGCGATGTGTGTGGTGCCAAGACGCCACTGTGGAAGATCCGATACATTGTTCTCGCTGCACCCAAGGTGGGCTCACTCACCCCCATCAAGTTCAGGCCTCACCTCTCCCACAATCCTACTGTACATCTTTCATCCATCCTTATCTTCCCCCCCTCTCTTTTGAACCTGTGAATCCTGTGCTGTCACCACATCTCTTGGCCTGCATTAGTGTTCCTTGCCTTGTTTCATTGTTCCTCCTGTATTCCCGCATCCCTCATTCCTATTCTTGCTTCTTTCATTCCTCTTCCCACTCTAATTTCTCATTCCCCTCCCCGCTCCCCTCTCCCCTCGTATCCTCTCCTCCCCTCCCCACCAGACAAGCAACCCCACCAGCACATGGCATCTGCAAGTGGGCTACCAGCCGCGATGGCTCACGTACCTTGCTCTCATTGGTCAGCAGTGCCCTGCCTCCCCCCCTTAACTCGCTTCACCTGCCTCTCTCTTTTTCTTTTCAGTTCTTCTTTCAAGCATGCACACGGTTTCTATTTGCACTCGCACATGATGCGTATTCTGAGTGCATATGGTACTCCCCACATCCATATCCACATCCATACCCACACATTCGACACCACCTGACACGACTTTTCTCTCAAACCCCACTTCCCACCGACCACTCCTATCACTTCCCGCCCCCCGGTCTTCTCCTCTAACACCGCTCCTTCCCCGTGCCACCATCTCGTGCGCCCCTGCCTCCCTTCCCTGTGCAGTCATCCCCTGGCTGCTGTCCCTCATCGCACTCTCCATCTACCGCTGCCAGCTGTACCTGCAGCACCGCTCTGACTCCATGCGCGTTCCCCCCTCCCTCTCCTCCATCTCCACCGACCCTCTCACTCTCCCCTCCTCCTCCCCCTCGGAGCACCACCCGCTTCTCTCCTCTGCGGAGTCTCACCAGCTGTACACACCACCTGACCCAGCCACAGCAGCAGCAGCAGCAGCTGCTGCTCCTGCTGCACCGATTCCTGACACATGGGGGGTGACGAGCGACAGTGACAGGCTGGCCGGATCTAGCGCCCCCTCAGCCCCTCCCTTGGAGAGCCCTTCAGGCAAGGCAGCGCCGGGGATGGGGAATGCAGAGCAGAGGAGTGAGGAGGCGGGAGGGTCCAGTGCATCGGCAGCCTCAGGCGGAGGGAGAGGAGGGGAGGGCGAGGACATGAACTGCTGTGTGTGCATGGAGAACCCGAGGAATGCGGTGATCTTGGACTGTGGGCATCGTGCCACGTGCTACTCGTGCGGGCAGGAGCTCATGCGCATGGCGAACAAGCGCTGCCCCATCTGCCGCAGGGAGGTGCGCGACATCACGAGGATATACGACCCTTGAGGTCTGCATGTCGGGTTGATGCTGCCATCTCGAGTCTGCATGTCTGGACTGCGGGTGATTTTGATAGTGGATCTTACTGATGCCTGTTCTTGTTGTGCGACACTGATAGCAGGCATGGATTTGTCAGTCTTATCTCACGTCATGGATCAGGCCTGCCATTTGAGAACTTTGAACGGGAGAGGTGCTGGAACCAAGAGGTGTATTGTTGCATATGAATTTGTCAAGTTCTCCCAAAATATTTGCTATGGTTACTTGTTGTGAATGAAGTTACTTTCTGTTTGCTGTGAACATTTGATAAATTGCTAGACATCGTTAGTGTGATTTGTTGAGGCTTCACGAACCCTTGCTACCAATTTATCAACATAGGCATATACATATTGACGAGTCCCTACCCGGCATACATCTTTCCTCTAGGTTCAAGTAAATGGCCCACTCCTTTTGCAGGGTTTATGACACGTCCTACAGGACACACAGTCGCCTACTTTTACAATTGGAAGTTTTGATAACCAAGAGGAATCCATCAATATGTATCCAAAATTAGAACCAGGCCAGCTCAATCAGCTGCCCTGATCAGACAGACAGACCGCTTAGATAGCAGCGAAGTACTCCTTGCTGCCCTTGGGGTCGGGCTTCATGGTCTTCTCCCCAGGCTGCCAGCCAGCAGGGCACACCTCATCAGGGTTGCTCTGCACGTATTGCACGGCCTGCAGTGTCCTCAGGGTCTCGTCCACGGAGCGGCCAATGGCGAGGTTGTTGATGGTCGCGTGCTGGATCACACCCTGGGGGTCGATGATGAACAGACCACGGAGAGCAATGCCCTGCAAAAGAAACAAGACGTATGAGACAGCACGGGGACATATCCAGCACGTATCAGTTGTCGGGCAGCCACTTAAATGGCGAGAGGAACACTAGATGAGCTTTGAGGTTTCAAATCGCTAAGAGGGATAAAGCGCATTTCCCTATGTTATGCTGCAATGTATTCCGCACGGTGTTACACAAGGCTGGGATAGGGATACGGCACTTACATCCTCCATGAGCACGTTGTACTTCTTGCTGATGGACTTTGTCAGGTCAGCCACGAGGGGGTAGTTGAGGTCGCCCAGTCCACCGGACTTGCGGTCGGTTTGGATCCAGGCAAGGTGAGAAAACTGTAGGGAAAGGGAGTACGCGCACGCACCGGTAACATATCTTAGCAAAGCTCAATCTTCTTAAGGCAAGTAAATGTAGTGACACATACCACGCTGTCCACAGAGACACCAAGGACCTCAGTGTTGATCTTCTCGAACTCCGCATAGCGGTCGCTGAAAGCAGTGATCTCTGCAACAAAGAGTGAAGAATTTGATTTCAGATAGAGTTTTGCACACCTTGTGCGGACAAAAATTGACGACAATTGCAACTTATCTGCCGAAAAAGGTAAGAAATCGCAGCGTACCAGTTGGGCACACGAATGTGAAGTCGAGAGGGTAGAAGAAGAGGACGACGTACTTGCCCTGGGACAGGTACTCGCTCAGCTTGACCTGAAACAACAGCAGGCATGTAGTGGTTCAGTACACACCAGATGTAAGGAATAAAAAAACTTACAGGGGTACATGACATGACTGATTATCAATAGATAAATCGATAGCGTACCTTGATGAACTCCTGGTCAAAGACAGCATCGGCCTCGAAGTCAGGGGCAACATTGCCAACGAGAGGAGCCTCCGCCTGCGTAAGAAGCAAGCCAAGAGCAATGTGATTTCAGCCTGCCTGGAAAGTACTGTTTGCGGATTGGAGATTAGCGAGACAGTTATACACCTAAATGATAAATTAACCAGCATACCTTCACGGCGAAAACGCGAGTCGACTTCTGGGCGGGGGCAGCAGCGGCCTTGGCAGCCTTTGCGTTCCTGGCCTTGAAGGTCTTGCCAAGACCGTCTTGCCTGGTGAAGCCGAAGGACAGGCTCCTGGAAGCCGAGATCTCCTTGGCGAAGTTAGAGGCGCCAAGGGATGTGGCGACGGAGCTGGAGCTCAGGGTGGTGGTGGCGGCCATGGCTGCTGGGAGGCTGAAGATGCAGAAGGAGATGACCAGAAGATTGATGGACGCAAATTTGCTTCTACAATGCAGCTGGTTCTGTTATCACAAGGGTCTCTTCCAGCGGGCAGAGGGTGGATTCGTGTGATGCACTTACTGGCCTGGATGTCCTGCAAGAGGGAGTTGCTGACATGGCGCTTCTCGAATGATAAGGCTGGTGTTTGTGACGTCACAGAGCCACGTGGCGAGGCTAGGCTGTTCTGTTGGCGAAAGATCGGGACCTTTGTGGTTGGCCCGCACTGGCGACTTTGCTGAGCAAGTGCAGCCCTCTGGCTTGAATTCGTTATTGGGCTTTTTGGTTTCTATAAAAGAGGGTACAGAAAAATGTCGGGTTTATTTTGACCACTTACAAAACTGACAGATTCCATCCACCAAGTGACGTTAGCGAAGGGCTCAAAGAACATAACTTCGTTTCGCCCAAAAGTAGAACCTGCAAAAATTGGCGAACACAAGCACCCAGAACCTGGCGTGTCGGGAATTTCAAATTGCCTGACGCTGGGCGTTCAGCCAATCAGAGCCCTGGAGAGCCCAGGTTTGGCGCCATAACTTGAGTCAGGTGAGCTCTGAGCCACACAGAGTTGCTCTGCCCAAGTCGCGAGTTCGAAAGTCAGGGAGGAAAGAACTCTCTGCTCCCTGGGATTGCTTGGGCCACCTTCAGCCAACTCATGCTCTCTGGCTACCTCCAGTTGGTTCAACACCTGAAAGCTTATAAAGACAGCGCTGCTGCCCCTTAATTCGTCTGCACAGAAGTAAGATTTGTCTACAGAGCTCTCGTTACTTCTCATTCTTAGTCAAAGTGACTGTTCCTTCATCAGCTTCTTAGTTTATCAGTCGTTGCTCAGTTATACTCATCCACCATGGCCGGAGGTAGACGCGCGGCTGCTAACAAGGCTATCGATTGCGAGAACAACGTTGAGCCAGATGTCGTTGCTCTCCCGACCAAGGCCGAGGTTCCGGCTAAGGGCCGCGGTAAGGCAACCAAGAAGGCTGCTAACGCCGAAGTCGACAACGCGCTTGCAGAACGCAGGCCAAGCATTGAGAACGAGCTTCTGGCGCTGACAGCGAAGCTGGAGCAAGTGACCCTGGAGAAGCAAAAGAACGACCAGATTCTGGAGGAGAAGAACGCCGCGCTTCAGGCCAAGGCTGAGGAGAACGAGCGCCTGGCTCGTGAGCTGAAGAAGCTCCAGAAGATGAAGCCGTTTGAGCCTGTTCTGGTAAGAGGCTGACCATTTCTTTTCCGATTCTAACAATATCAAACGTTTCTACAACATGCTCCGTCCGGTTTCTCCTTCAACTTCATCTGACCCAGTCTGATTTTGTTTTTCTTGTGGTGCAGGACATTGATCTCTCTCTTGAGAGCGAAGACGGCGACAAGAAGGATAAGGATCCTCGCAAGCCCAAGCGTCCGACGTCAGCTTACGTCCTCTGGTGCAACGACGTCCGCGAGGAGGTGAAGGAGAAGAACCCCACCGCCTCCGTCACGGATCTCGCCAAGATCTTCGGCGAGATGTGGAAGACCGTCTCCGCGGAAGAGAAGCGGGTCTTTGAAGCCAAGTTCAACGAGGAGAACGAGGCGTACAAAGTGAAGAAGGCTGACTACGACAAGGCAAGCTTTCTAATGCAAACGCATAAGTGGTTACTTCTACCTGGTCGTTTACTGATTCGTTCCCTGAACACTCGAACCAATTTAACGGTTTATGTTTTTGGTTTTCTCAGATGATTGAGAGAGAGAACCGGGAGCAGGCTGCACTCAAGAAGCTTCACGGGGACAGGAAGAAGGAGGCAGCGTTGAAGCTTCTCGAGCAGTATGAAGCTCACCAGAAGGAGGTCGCCGAATCTGCTGCGAACGACAAGAAGTAAGCAGCACGATATTTTCTTGTTTCCTGACAACTATCTCGTGCTCTATTTCGATTAAAAGCTAACTCTCCTCTCGTTTTCCCTTGCAGGAAGACCAAGGACCCTGAGAAGCCCAAGCACCCGCTCTCGGCCTTCATGCTCTACTGCAACGAGCGCCGCCCGCTCCTTGCCGCGGAGCGGTCGGGGGAGAAGCGCGACACGATCGAGGAGTCGAAGCTGCTGGGCGAGGAGTGGAACAGGATCAAGGGTACCAGGAAGGTGGAACGGTTCGAGAAGCTGGCGCTGAAGGAGAAGGAGCGGTACATGGCGGAGATGGAGGTATACAACGCGAAGAAGCAGGAGGCCGAGGAGAAGGTAGCGACTGCAAAGCAGGCTGAGAAGCAGCGGCGACACGCTGAGGACATGAAGGAGGCGGTCGCGCTGCTCGATCAGGAGGACATGGAGAGGAAGAAGCTGGAGAAGCAGGTCGCCAAGCAGGTGGCTGCGGGCTCTAAGAAGCAGCAACCAGCACCTGCTGCTGAGGCGAAGAAGGCGGCCAAGGACCCCAACAAGCCCAAGAGGCCCATGTCTGGATACCAGCTCTTCTGGTAAGTTTCGAACTCGAATTTTGCGTTTTGCACCTCAATGTTCGCCTCCGTTGCTTTTGTTTTCCCTGAAGTTGTCGTTTCACTGACTCGAGTTTCCGCTTCGTCTTGCAGTTCTGCTGGTCGCGCCAAGCTGGCGGAAGCCAACCCAGGCGTGTCGTTCGGTGTGCTGAGCCAGCTTCAGGGCAAGGCTTGGGGCGAGCTGTCGGATGGTCAGAAGGCGGAGTGGAACAACAAGGCAGTTCCCGCCATGGAGGCGTACAAGCAAGCCATGGAGAAGTATAAGGCCGAGAACCCCACAGCTGCCGTAGATGACGAGTAGAATGATGTCACTCATGGGTAACGGGTTTCGGAGGGCTTCCTTGGCCCCCTCATTCAATAATGCTAGCATGCTAAGTTAGGTTCTGTAAGGCCGGTGAACAACTTCCTTAGCTGAGTCTTGTCTTGTTAGCTGGCCCTTCTCCAGGGTCTTGTTCATATTATACTGTCTAGAACAAGCCTTCATACTTTCTTAATCAGCAGACATTCCTATCGCTGGAAGATTACTGTTCCATATCGCTTGCTCAATTGGTAGTGCCCACGGAAATTACATGATGATCACAGGTGGCCAAAACCCAACACGGTCGCCTACAAATATTCTGACTGGGGCCGTGTCCCACTCGTTTATCCAGTTTCGTTTACTGCGGTTCGATCCTGTACGTCACGGTCAGAAGCAATTCTCGTGCTTCAACGTTCTTGACCTAGGCGCACCCAACTGAACCGTATGATGTGAATATTTAAACGCTGGACAACCCTCAATTTTGATCTGCTCTCAAATTGAACATTTGAAACCAATCTTCGTCCCCCTCCTCGCAACCAACTCTCATTCCAATCCACTAACTTTCCTTTCGCCTGACCAAGAGGAGTTAGTGCTCTTTGGTGGTGGTATGGCGCGTGGATCGCCACGAGCTGATATCAGTCGCCCTGGAAAGCGGTCGAGTCCTGATCTTAGCGTGAACGATGCTGGTGGCAACGTGTGCGAGTTGTCGTCTGACGACTCAGCGCAAGCAGGTTCGCCGCCTGAACCTTCATTGACAACGAGGGGACCGGCGCAGAGTGTCGCACGACGCAGCTGTGCGGTAGAACCGCTGCCAAAACAGTCGCGCGAACCTGTTTTTGCCTCGACTAAAAAACCGTCGCTTCGAACAGCAGCGACGATCCGGAAGGGGGGGACGCGTATTGCGGCTGGAGGGGAGCGGACAGAGGGAGGCGACGAGGCAAGCAAACGCGCGGAAGCGGCGCAAGCGCAGAGAAAGAGCGGGCAAGCGTCGGAAGGTGGCGCGCAGGTGGAGCGCGGTCGGCTGCTGAGCCTGGCGTCGGAGTGCGGCTTCCGACACGACGACGCGGTCAGGTGCCTGCAGCGCATCACTGACGCCTATGGTGCGTGCTCCGTGCTCTCTCCTCCATGCGCGCCTATGGTGGTGACGCCATGGTTGGCCGTCGTTCTCGTATAAACGAGCCAAGGCTTGTCGCCTTCATCCGTCCTTGCGGCCATAGCACAAGCTCTCCTCTTTCTTTCCCCCCCGTCCCCCCCCCCTGCCACCGCCTTTATCGTTCTCCCGGTCTGTATGCTCTTAGGCGACGAGGGTGAGAGCTTCGTCACAGTCGAGTCGTGCGGGGACGAGTTTCTCGCCATGCTCGCTGACCTGGCGGATGAGGCTGACGACGCGGCGGACGCGGAAGCGGAGTGTGCCGACCTGGAAGATCTCGGCTACGTGGCTGTCGAGCTGGATGACGACGATGCTGACGAGGCAGCCCTACTGGAGGCACGGCTGTGGACAGGGTTAGGCGGTATGGGAGATCTAGGTGGCACGAGAGGGAGGGAGAGCGGTTCAACGCGGGGAAGAACGGTGCAGGGAGGGGATGAGGAGCGAGTGTGGGCGGAAAGCGGTCCTGCTATGGCTGGTGGCGCCGTGGGGGGGTTGAGAGGAGGGACGGAGGCGGTGGGCCAGGAAAGTGGGGCAGCAGCAGAGAGAGATTGGGGAGGAGAGGAGGCGGGGGCGGAAGCGGAAGGGAGGGGCGAGTGGGAGAGGCAGAGGTGGGCGTGGGAAGAGGTGGGGGAGGCCATGGATCTGGGGCTGGAGGACGATGGGCAGGCCGACGGGTGGTCCTGGCTGCAGCAACAGCAGCAGCAGCAGCAGCAGCAGCAGCAGCAGTTTGAGGGCACACCATTCGGGGAAAGGCAAGGGTCTGCATCATCAGCAGCAGCAGAGGGCACGAGGGAAAGAATTAGAAGAGATGGACCCAATCACCAGGCCTACACTACTCCTCCCGCACACATCCCCCATCCTATACCATCCCCTTCTGCTCCCCCTTACCCCTCTCCTCCCGCTCCGCCTTCTCACCCCTCTCCGTCCAATCTCTCCCATCACCGCTCTGCACCGAGTCACGCCCTGCTGTACCACGAGGCGCTGCAGCTGGACCAGGTGGAGCTAGTGGGCGCAGCAGTGTTCGGGCACAGGCGGCTGAGGGAGGGGCAGAGGGAGGCGTGTGAGGCTGCTCTTGCGGGTCGGGACTGCTTCGTGCTAATGCCGACTGGCGGGGGGAAGAGCCTCTGCTACCAGGTGGGAGTGGCAATAGCAGTAGTGGTAGCGGTAGCGGTAGCAGTAGCGGTAGCGGTAGCGGTAGCGCCTGACAGAAGCACCTGACAGTCAACTTCTGCACCTCCCTGCAGCCCTTCTTCCCAATCGCCTTATCGCCCCACACTCCTCTGTCTTCTCGCCTGGTTGCACATTCCTCCCTCCTCCCATCCTCGCCCCTCTCTTCCTGTCCCCTTCTCTCCTCTCCTCCCTCCCCCTTCCCTCTACCCCTTTTCCAAACCAGCTCCCAGCAGTGCTGTCCTGCAGAGTGACCATCATTGTCTCCCCGCTGCTCGCCCTCATCCCAGACCAGGTCGTGGCGCTCGTGCACCACCACGCCATCCCTCCCTCCCCCTCCTCCCCCCCGCCCCCCACCCCCCCCTTCCTCCCAGCTCCCAGCAGTGCTATCCCGCGGTGTGACAGTGGTGGTCTCCCCACTGCTCGCGCTCATCCAGGACCAGGTCATGGCGCTCGTGCACCACCACGCCGTCCCCGCCGCCTTTCTCTCGTCGGCGCAGACCGCGGCGCAGGCGGCGGCAGTGGCGCGGGAGCTGCGCAAGGGCGTGCCGTCGTGCAAGCTGCTGTACGTCACGCCCGAGAAGCTCATGGGTAGCCCCGCGCTGCAGGGGATCCTCAGGAGACTGCACGCCAGGGTAGGGAAGGGGGGGGAGGGGGGGGGGGTAGGAGGAGGAAGGGGATTGGGGAAGGTTAGAATGGCGGGAGGGGAAGGTGGAAGGAAGGGGAGGGGAGGGGGGGAGTGTTGTGCGCTGGACCTGGAAAATCACGAGATCTTTCACCCATAATAATCACTGCTCGCCCTTCTCCTCTCCACTTGCTCCTCACACCCTCCCCCACCGGCCCCCTCCCCAAACGCCCTTCCCCCCATGTCCCTCGCCTCCCCCCCACTCCTCCCCTCTCCTGGTGCACCTGCCCTCACAGGGCATGCTGGCTCGCTTCGTGGTCGATGAAGCCCACTGCGTGAGGTGAGGGGGCAACGTGGCTACAGGGTGATGGTGGGAGGGATGGAGAGTTGGGAAGATGCAGGGTGGGGCTGGGTGAAACGGCTGGGACGATGAGACATGTCAAGAAGTGTTGGGGTGATGATGCACAGGGGGGAGGTAGCTCAGTTCAACTTCTTCCCGTCTTTTCCTCCCATTTCCCCACCGCACATTCCTGACACCTCCGGTGCTGCTGTATTCGTCATTCTCTCAGTCACGAAATAATAACCATCAATTCCCCATTTTCTCTCCTCTTCCCCTTCCTTCCTCCACCCTCCCTTACATCTCCCCCACCGCCTTCCTTCCCCCACCGCCTTCCTTCCCCCCCCTCCCTCCCCACCCCCCCAGCCAGTGGGGGCACGACTTCCGCCCAGAGTACCGCCAGCTGGCCTCCCTGCGCGCCCTCTTCCCGCGCACGCCCTTCCTCGCTCTCACGGCCACGGCCACGCCTGCCGTGCAGCGCGACATCATGGCCGTGCTGCGCTTCGCCCCGTCCGCCGCGCTCATCTCGCTCTCCTTCGACCGCCCCAACATCGCCTATGCAGTGCTCCCCAAGCACCCCACGGACCCCCTCGCGCAGATCGCCAAGCTCCTCGCTGCGTCCTTCCCCCCGCCCGCCCCCGGCATCATCTACTGCCTCTCCAAGCGTGAGGCCGAGACTGTTGCCGAGTACCTCCGCTGCCCGCCGCACCTGCGCCTGAGTGCCCCCAGTGGTGGTGCTGGGGGGGGGGAAGAGGGGGAGGAGGTCTATGAGGATGAGGAAGGCTTGGGCAGGGGAGAGGGGGGAGGAAGCTGGGAGGAGGAGGTAGGAGGGGGGGGGATATCGGCGGAGTGCTACCATGCGGGGATGGGCATGCGGGAGCGCGTGGCTGTGCAGGCGAGGTGGAAGGATGGGCGCACGCGGATCATCTGTGCTACCATAGCTTTCGGCATGGGCATTGATAAGCCGGATGTGGTATGCCAGCCCCCTCTCTCTCGCTTTCTCACACATACATAGAGGTCGTGCACTCATGCACACAGACCCATCCCTTCTCCCCACACCCATCCCTTCCCCCCACACCCATCCCTTCCCCCCACACCCATCCCTTCCCGCCACACCCCGACACTTTCTGCGCATCCTCTCCTGCCACCCATGCCTCCTCCTCATCCAATTCTGCTGCATTCTCAAATCTCTCCTGCTTCTCCATGTCCCCCCCTCATCCCCCCTGCTTCCACGTGTCACCCCCCCTCCCCCTCCCCCTGTCCCCAGCGCTTTGTGCTGCACAGCACCATGTCCAAGTCGCTGGAGAATTTCATTTCTTATTCTCCCTTTTCCTCTCTCCCCCCTCTTCCCCCACGCTCCCCTCCCTGCTTTCGCCACCCTATCCCCCCGGCCAGCGCTTTGTGCTGCACAGCAGCATGTCCAAGTCGCTGGAGAATTTCTACCAGGAGTCCGGCAGGGCGGGCAGGGACGGCCTTCCAGCCACCAGCATTGTGCTCTTCGCGCGACGGGACTTCTCCCGCGTCGCCTGCCTGCTGCGCCGCTCCGCCTCCTCTGCTCGCGGCGGCAGGGGCGCGGCCGCCAGGGCTGCCGTGGCGCGGCGGATGCAGGAGGAGATGAAGCGCGCGCGCGAGATGGTGCAGTTCTGTGAAGACAAGGTGTGTCGTTGAGATACGTTGAGATACTGGTCTACTTGTGAGAGGAGAACCTCAGAGCTCGGGACTTGCATCAGATGGAGCGGGCACGGGAGATGGTGCAGTTCTGTGAGGACAAGGTGCGGTCGCTGAGGCTATGATAGTGGTTGTCACATCTTGTCCTTGTTCCTCCATCTCGCCTCCCCCCCCCCCCCCCCCCGTTTCCCCCACAAGGCCCCACACGCACCCCCTACACTCCCCACACAGCCCACATATACAGCCCACTGAATGGATGAACAATGTTTTTGTTTCCAATGGATGTGTGCTCGGCAGCATTAACGGTGGCTCATATTCTTCTCATGCCCTTGCCCATGCCCATGCCCATGCCCATGCCCATGCCCATGCCCATGCCCATGCCCATGCCTATGCCCATGCCCTTGCCCGTGTCCATGCCCATGCCCATGCCCATGCCCATGCCCATGCGCGTGCCTGGAGTACATCTCTTTCCCATGCTGCTGCCTCTCCATCCGCCCTGCCTTGCTGCAGTCCAAGTGCCGGCGGCAGCAGCTGCTGAGCTACTTTGGGGAGCAGCAGCCGGGCGTCACTTGCCCCCCCCACACCAACCCCTGCGACCACTGCCTCCACTCACTGCCCCATGCTGCCACTGCCTCCAACCCCACCCCCACTCCTGCTGTTCCAACCACACCCACACCCACTGCCCCACCCACTACCACTGCCACTACCTCTGCTGCTCGTGCTGCCCCTGCCGCCGGCAGTGGTAAGGGTACCAGAGGGGGCAGCAGCACAGGGGGTGCTGCTGGTAGGAGGGGCAAGCAGCCAAGGCAAGGGGTGAGGCGCCAGCAGAGGAAGAAGCACAAGGGGTGAGGGAGGGTGCTCCTCTGCTATGGCTGCACCCTACCTCTATCTAATACAAAGAACCAATTGGGAGGGTGCTCTGACAAAGCCAAGGGGGGCGTGTGTGGAGGAGAAAGCTTGTTAGCAGGAGGGAGTTCGCTCTGAGAAAGCTATGCAAGTCGTCGCCCTCACCACTGCTGTGCTACAGGAGCCTTGTTGCTGCCTTGGAGTCTCAGCTCAACGCTCAGTAGAGCAGTGGCAGAGAAGTGCGTATTTCTCTAAACCGGGATCAGGACCAGACTCGTGGTTCTGTGCGGTGCAACGTGTTGGAATCACATTTTTGTGCGGTTCCTTTTGATTCTGCGTGTTTCTGCAATCCCGTTCCCGGTTCATAGGAATACGCGCTAAATGCTGAGCGGTTCTGTGGATCTGACAGCTGAGAGACATCTCTCAACCGGCACTTGGGTAAAGTGCTACAGTCAATTCAGCAGCCCATGTGTATTCCGTATATTATTGGAGGCGGACAGAGAGGAGAGGAAACACTAAACCAACAATACTACTGCAAGAATAGTTGTGCGCTATACAATCAATTACCGGTATAGGAATCCCCCCCTACCTCCACGATAGTAGCAACAAGACCAGCAGGCAGCGGCGCGGGCTGGACCGGCCTACAGCCTGCTTCAACTTGGCCATATACCGTACCACCAGCACTGGTGGTGTCCTACCGTACCTCACTATCCTGCACCAGCTTTGAAGCATCGCCATTCCAGGGGCCATCCACATGTCTCGCATGCCATCCACATGTCTCGCATGCCATCCACATGTCTCACATGCCATCCACATGTCTCACATGCCATCCACATGTCTCACATGCCATCCACATGTCTCACATGCCATCCACATGTCTCACATGCCATCCACATGTCTCACATGCCATCCACATGTCTCACATGCCATCCACATGTCTCACATGCCATCCACATGTCTCACATGCCATCCACATGTCTCACATGCCATCCACATGTCTCACATGCCATCCACATGTCTCACATGCCATCCACATGTCTCACATGCCATCCACATGTCTCACATGCCATCCACATGTCTCACATGCCATCCACATGTCTCACATGCCATCCACATGTCTCACATGCCATCCACATGTCTCACATGCCATCCACTTGTCTCACATGCCATCCACATGTCTCACATGCCATCCACTTGTCTCACATGCCATCCACTTGACTCACATGCCATCCACATGTCTCACATGCCATCCACATGTCTCACATGCCATCCACATGTCTCACATGCCATCCAAATCCCCAGCCACCAACAACCCCCCCTTCTTCGTCGCCACTCCCAGCGCCAGCCCTGCACCCCCACCCCCATGGTAGCTCCCCCCTGCCACAGGCCGCGCGCCAGGGGACGCATCAAACATGAGCAGCGAGGGCGAGCGGCGCGTGAGGCACGCGCGCATGCTCTCGATCTCCGCCGCCGCGGCGTGCACGCGGTGCTTGTCCTGCGCGCTCAGTTGCGCCAGGCGCGCAGGGTCCGCCTGTAGGCGCGCCATGTCCGCCTCCAGCTGCCGCATCTCCTCCTCCAGGCCCCACACATCCGCCTCTGACACCACGCTCCCCGGCCCGCTGCCGCTGCCCGCCGCCACTCCGCGCGCACAAGGGGACGCTCCAGATAGGTTACGCTGGTGATGGTGCATGTTGCTGTAGAGGTGCTGGTGCTGGTGATGGTGGTGGTGGTGGTGCGGCTTGTACGTGTGCAGCTGGTTGTAGCTGCTGGCTTTGACCATGGCGCGCTCCTTGCTCTGTGACGGCTGCATCGCTGCTGCTGCTGCTGCTGCTGTAGCACCGGCGGATGTAGCAGCGGCTGGGCCCCCCTGCATCATCATCATCATGGCCATCTGCTGCTGCAGCTGCTGCTGTAGCATCACCTGCTGGGGAGTGCCGTCCGCTACAGCCTCATCAGTGTCCCCCGAGCCGCAGGGAAAGACAGCCGAGGCGACGGGCGTGGAGCGCTGCGACAAGGGCGACGCGGAGCCGTTGGCCATGGCGACAGAGGCGACGGACGGGTTGTAACGGTCCGATGTAACGGGCGACTGCTCGATGGGCGTAAGCACGGGGCCCATGGGCGCCATCACCCACCGCTCCGGCCCCCCGCCGCTGCCTCCTTGCCCTCCTGGCCCGCCCAGCCCCCCGCCAATCGCGCTGAAACTTCCGCTGCCAGCACTGCTTCCGATAGACGCGCCGCCAAACTGCAGGTACTTCTGCTGCTGCTGCTGCTGCGGGGACAGCAGCGTCGCGCCGCCGTAGTTGCCGGAGCAGGACCGCGCGAACTCGAGCGATCCCGTGGTCCGATGGCGGGAGAGCGCGCCGCTGTGCGGGGAGACCTCCTCGAAAGATCCGCTCGCGCTTACGCTCACGCTCCCGCCGCTTGCGGCGCCCGCCATGGCGCCCACGATCTGCCACGGGCTCACATTGCTCCCGCTGTCGCTGCCGCTGCTGTTGTCGCTGCCCGTGCTGCTGCTCGTGCTGCCGGTGCTGGGGCGGAGGAACGACGCGCAGCCGGCGCCGGACGACGCGGAGGAAGGGTCAACGTCGGCGAACGCGCCGCCGGGGAACTGGTGCTGGTTTGGGTGATGATGATGATGATGATGACTCTGCTGCGCTGCGTATCCGTATTTCCCGAGGGACTGGCCGGAAGGCGCCGCGACGATCTGGCGGGCGGAAGACGCGCCTCCGGCGGGGGAGCCGGATGCGCGGAACCAGCCGCCGCATCCGCCGATGCCGCCGCCAGGCGCGCTGTTGGTGCTGCGGCTTCTCACAACCCCGCATGCGCCAGCGCCCGCTGCGTCGCCGGCGGCCCCGGCGGCGGCGGTGTCACGCCGAGGGCTGCCGGCGTAATATGCCTCTTGCGCGCTAAGAGGCACTACATCGGTGCTGTACGCGCCTTGCGCCGCCTGATCCTGCGGGGCGTCGTTGCAACTAAACACGCGCTTAATCTGGCGCGGCATGCTGTTGCCCGACACTTGGCGCTGGTATTTCGACCGAGCCGGAGGCATGGCGCCTAGCGGCGCGGAGAAGATGGGCCCGGGATAGTTAACGTACGCGTCAGAAGCAGCGGCGGAAGACGCGGGCTGCGGGGACAGCAGGCCGGACAGCTGCCGCGGTGGCAAAGGCGGCGTGTTGCCTCGCTGGATCGCGAGGGGATCTAATCTGAGCCCATTCGCGCCCTGCTCGCCGCCAGCAGTTTCGGCGCCACTCGCGGAGATCCCAGCAGGATCCTCCTCCTCGGGAACGTCGAACAGCGCCTCGAGCGGAGCGGAGAGGAGGTACGCCGCGAGCCCCGTCGGCGTCGCCGAGAGCCCGTCCGCGCCGCTGCCGCCGGGACCGGCGGCGCAGCCGGAATCGGAGAGGAATGGGACGGAGTATGCGGCGTGGTGGAAGGAGCCGCTGCAGTTGCTGCCGATGGAGCTCTGCGATAGCAGTCGCTGCAATGGCCGGCCGCCGCTCATCTGATGAAAATCAACGGACGAGGACTCAAGCTGCTGGGCGTGCAGGCCGGCAAGCCGCGGCAACTCGCCGGACATGATGAGTGCGGCGTGACCACCGCCGTCGACAGGCTGCCAGGACTCCGAGTCGCCCGTGCCGGCCAGCGACAGATGTTGCTGGTCGGCTGATGGGCGAAGCGTGGCGTCGCCGGCGGCAGGCAAGGGAATGCAGTCGTCGCCGGGGACGTCGAAGAGCTCCTCCGTGGACGACGATAGTAGCCGCGCTGCGAGGCTTCCTGGCGCGGCGTCGTCCCACGTGTGGCAGAACGGCAGCGTCGACGACTCGACTGAGCCGGATGAGTTCGACGATCCCGGGGCTCCCGCCGCGCTCGCTGCGGCGGCGGCGCCGGCGCCGGCGTTCGTCCGCGGGGAGGACATGTAGCTCGGCAACGGCCCGCTCGAGTTCAGGAGAATGCTGGCGGCAGCGGCGGCGGCGGCGGCGGAGGCGGACACGGAGTGCGACGGCGACGGCTGCCCCCCGTTCATCCTGCCGTACTGCTCCAAACCGTGGATCGGAAGAGCGGTGACGCTCATGCTGCTGGAAGGAAAGGAGGAGAGGAGGAGAACTGGCAGGGCCTCGCCCTTATAACTTGCGCCTGCGGCTGATGTGATCAGAGGAACTAGTGAGGGGAGGGGACTGCGCGAAATGTCAATATGATTGGTAGGCGTGCGAGAGCTGCTCTTGTTGTCGGAGGTGCTGCTGAGAATGGAGTGGCGCAGGGCGGGGTGGAGCATGGAGGGGCGCAGCGGTAGTGGGTGGATGTGCGAGTTGAGTTGAGGATGAGGTGAGAGCGAGGGCGGGCAATGGGAGCATCTTGTGCTGGCGCGTGCTCTTTCTAGGTGGAGGAGAGAGGGAAGGAGAGAGAGGGGGGAGGGGGAAAGCGGGATTTGGATTGGGGGAAGCGGGGGGAGCAGCAAGGCAGTGGGGCAGTCGTGTGGTGGTGGGCAGGGATTCCGCGAGTTGCGGCGGGGAGAAAAGGGGGAGGGGAGAGGAGGGGAAGGGAGCGGAGGGGAGGAAAGGGAAGGGGAGGGGGGAGGGAGGGAGGGAGCAGATTGATTGATTGTGGCTGTGGTGGAAGTGGATTTGAAATTGGAGCCAGGAGCGCGCACCGCAAGCTTGAAGACCAGGCGAGGCGCGATCGATCTCTCCTGGATGATTGGAGGAGAGAGCCTCAGCTTACGGCACACCAGCAAAGGCTTCTCCCCTTCATCAGCTTTCCGGACTAAGGGGTTGCGCTGTTGCTTTCGAACAGTCCAACAAGCTGGAATCTGTGGCGGATAGGGGGGAGACACCGGTGAAAGGGGGGAGAGGGCGGAGGGGGGGAATGCGCGGAGTGCCTTGAAGTCGCACACAAGAAAGCTATTGGTGTACGATGCATGGCTGTAGTTGTTCTGGGGAGATATGGTGTCGCATAATCGCATCACGATGATCCTGCGAACCTGTGGGGTTCAATCGAGCCGCGCGGCGATTGCCAGCGAATGAAACGAGTGGCGCCCATGTGATGCGGCAGCATATGTGGTGCAAGTTGCTTTCACTGTGCCCTGACACATGGCAGCACTTGATGTTTCAAGGATTCATCAGAGCCTACATCAGCAAAATACAATCATCGAGTCTTTCAATGCCATGTGGAGAAGTCAGCTAAGGTGGCACGAACCCAATGGCTAGTCTGATCCATGTGGAGAAAAACGTCCAATCGATACCTGGCTCATGGTTCCGAGTGTCATCCAGGTCCACGCCAGAGGTTTGTGGAATGAATTTTTGCGGCGAGCTTTTCCCACAACCTTGGCAAAGCCGCTTCTACCATTTGCACAACCATACAGCTTGTCAGTTCGAAAGTTCCTCTGCTCCAATTGCAACACGCCGCTCGGTTGTGAAGGCCACATGTCGTCCCGTTGATCCACGGATTTCGAACAGACGCTGACCGCCACACTCCGTAACGTGAGAAAGCGAACACCGCGAGTCTCCGAATACGGCCAACTGACGCAAACCGCACAGCTGGAAGGTTTCCATTCCACTACACATGCACCTCAGACAGAAGTTAAAAAGTTTGTTTTAAGCATTACAGTGATGTACGTACATGTCGCTGAATATTGTGAAATCATAGCGATAACCCTTGTACGGTAGAGTAAAGGTATTTTCTTCCGCAGCCCATCTAGCTGGGTGGGGAGCTCTTTGGGTGTATACGCCTGGTAGACCTGTGGGTGGGGTCGTGGAGTGGCTGGACGCCTGGGTTCTCCAGGGTGTCTTCCCTGTTTCCCCCCTACCCTCTCCCCGCCCTAGCCTTGTCTTGCTCCTCCCCCTCTCTCTTTCCACCCCCTTTCCCCATCGCATTGGCCTTGTCTCCGCACCCTTCCGGTTTCGTAGATTCTTGCATTGTTGTATGCACCAAAGAATCAGATGTCGGAATCCCATCTATCCCCGAAACCCCACTATGTACGGGCATGGGCTCCCCAAAACCAGCCCACTTGGTGACAGGTTGAATGACTGCGAGTAACGGACAGTACACAGTACCAGCTTTAGGGCGTGTTGGAATTCTGGTACAGTCGAATCGGATTTGTGCGTTTCAGAAGTTTCCAGGGTCGTAGTCTATCAGTTCGTGTCTTCCGGATCTTGGGGAGGGGCAACCACGGGCAAGTGTCGGAAGACGCGCACGGATGAAACTACCCGAGAACCGCTGTCTGTGACTCCGGATCGGACACGAGACTTGTGGCATTGGTTCCTGAATTTCCGTGATGATGTAATGTAAGTTAGTGCGAACGACGATAAGCAGTACAGAGTGAAGAGGAAACTAAGTGCCCGCTATACATTCTTCCTGCATCAAGCTAAGGTTAGGCAATCAAACCCGTAAGCCTAATTCAGATTTACAGCAGAAATGCACACCCAACGGATGTCAATACATCTTCGCATCAATGTGAATAGGGATAATTGAGGAGGAAGGCACGAGCAAGATATGGTGTGATGGAGAGGAGCAAATGTGATGCACACCCCTGGGCTAAGACACCTCTGGGCTAGACCCACCCACCCAACCATGTCATAGGTTTCATGCTCAGATGGGTTCACCATACATGGGATGCACTGACGATAGAATCATTCACAACATCACCCCATAACTACCGTAGCAACAAATCCTATCAGGTACACCCATGGCAGAGCGGAATCCCTTCAAAATGATAGACTAGTACTGGTTTAGAACCCTCCTCGCCTCGCCCCACTCCCAAACTCTCTGTTGTGGCTGAGTTTAGCCCAAGGATCTTTTCAGAATGCTAAGTCATTGTAACAGAGTGCTTGATAGCACAACGGAAGTCTTGAGTTGAACCCTTGTACTGGTATGTGAGAACAAGTGATTGATTATAGCAAAGGGATACAAGGTTTATATAATAATACAAAAGAATATGAAGAGTCTAACTGTTTTGCATTTCGAGGGGTACATTCCCTATTACAACTCGATAAGGCGACTCGGGTAACCACACCTACTGTAATATCCGGATGGTTATTTGTCCTTACTGTCACGCTGACTCTTGACTCTTGCGATTGTGACTGTTGGGTTGCACGGACAATGGTATGCGACCGCTGCCCTTTCGTAACCTCTGCGGGGTGTCGTCAACCCACATCAACTATCGGTAGTACTGTAGCGATGTTGACTCGGTAATCCTCGTTGTTGTAGTCTTCGCATATTTGTACATTCACGCGAGACACCGGAAATGCATGGGTCCTTTTAACATTTCCAATACCCTCCTTCATTTCTGGAGTGTCGATGTGGTTGTGTCGCTATGCAGAGAGCGATATATTCTACTTCAACGGATGAGAGAGCGATTAGTTCCTGCTGTCTCGAGTGCCAGGAAATAATGCCGATAGGTTCCAGACGGTAGATGTAGCCCGTGCGTAAACGACGGTTGTCCTGTCGCTGGCGTGATCGGCATCAACGTAGTCGATAAGTTATGTCTTGGTAGCTCAGGGAGAGTGTCTTGATAAACTCTTGTGGTAGGTCAGGTCGATCGTCGGGGTCGAGACGAAGTAATGGAGCGCACGATCGAGTTCCTGCAGGTTCCCCCCTTCCGGTCGCTTAAAGTAGGTAACGAGCTGGGTAGCGGCGTATGAGAGATCAGGACAGCAGTTGACGGCAGCGAATAGCTGATAGCCTAGCTTCCGCTGGTACTCCTAGATCCCGGCTGGTGCAAGTAGCGAGGCGGTTGACACAGGTGCTGGCTGCGCGTAGGTGTAAGGAGTAGTGAGAGGTAGCGAGGACAGGTCGAATCTACAAGCGATGGTGTTGGCGTAATTCGAGGCCGAGAGGTGGATGGTGTCGGGGCCGCCGGTGACGTTGAGGCCAAGGCACTGTGTTACAGTCGGCGACACTGAGATCGTGAGCTGGAGTTCCAGCTCGCCTTCGAACCAGCCCATAATGGAAGAGGTGGAGCTGATGTGGAGTAGGTCGTCCATGTAGACGATCAGCAGGACATAGTCGCCGTTGCGTGACAGGCGATACATGCCCTGGTCATGCGGTAGCTGGGCAAAGCCCATGTCGGGGAGGATGCGGTGCAGGTACTGCTGCCACAGGCGCGGGGCCTGCTTGATCCCGTAGAGGGATTTATGGAGCTGGAAGACCAGCATTGTGTCGTCGACATTTGCGTGGGGTTGCTCGACGAAGATGCCGGCGTCGACCGGGGCGTAGAGGAACGCAGTCCAAGACAACGACTCCGTGTTTCTGGATGGCTCTGTCGATGAAGAGTCTGCCCTTCCCGTGGTAGAGTCGGAACTCTTGATCGAAGCTGTCGCACTCCAGGTGAATTCCCTTAGAAATTAGATAGGTGATGCTTAAGAGACTGTAGCCAAGGTTGTCGACGACGAGTACTCGTGATATTTGTAGTATCACGTTTGTCTCGCGTGACTGTAACTGAACGATGCCTTCCTTCCTTGTGCGCAAGTTCTGGTTGTTGGCGACAGTGATGATGACTTCAGAGCTCAAAGTCTTCTCTTGCTAAATGAAACATCTCGAAGAACACATGTGCTGTCTACAACAGCTATCTAGAAATCATGTGTCGCGGTTGGACGGTTTGTCGCGAGCGATTGCAACGCAAGTCGGGTTCGGTTCGAGTCGGGTCTTTGTCGGACTGGGGGGTTGTTCATCAAGATCGCTGTGAGGTGGGGAGTGGGGTACCCAGAAATCTGTTCGTGCCATGCAACTGACAACGTTTCTTGCATCTTCTGCAGAGCGGTTCGTCGGAGCTGATGGGCGCTGCTGAGTTGAGGTGACTGGACTCGGTGACGGACGTGGCTCTCGAGATTGATACCGCGAGAACTGCAGCTGCTCCTGCTGTTGCCTTGGGCAGTTGAAGCGCAAGTGTCCTGTCGTACGGCACCGATGACAATACGGAGGTGAGTGTCGTTTCTGCGGGTATTGATTGTTGTGGTTACACCCGTGTGCGTAGAACGCAAAGTTCCTGACTTGATTTCTTTGCATGTCGTTCTTCATACAGGTCCATGACTTGTTGCTCGGCATGGAGCTCCGCGCACAGGTGCATCTTGGAGATCCTCCCGTGGGCGCGTAGAAGGGAGCACGTTGTACGCCACTGGGGACCGAGGCTTGCAAGGACAATTGTGACGAACGAGTCTTCTGATAAGTGCCCTCCACTTCGTATAAGCTTGTCGTAAACCTCTGCACCGATTGATGTAAGGCATTGCCTTTCTCCTGGTTGCACCTGGATTGTCGTGAGTTGTGTCATTAGTTGGCTTTGTGT